AACAGATAATAAAATTTTTCTCAGCGCCCTCCTAGCCCACTTGGCAGAACATCCCGTTTGCAGGCAAGTCCTCCCAAGGACAGCAGACACCTCGTTTGCAAGCATGTCCGCTGTTACTTATCTATACCTTGACAGAATATCCCGTTTGCAGGCAGACTCCATCAAGAACAGTAATAGTAACGCAGTTACATTTGATTCTCTACAATTTTAATTATTGTGTTATACATAGTCTTTGGTTTCTGAAATAAATTACTTCATTAAAAGTAATATTTTGAGGATTTCTCTTTTAGGGCTCTTGGAGATTGTGACTTCAGTTCTTCTTCATCCAAGTATGGCTGCTCGGCTTGCTGCTGCATGGTGTTTGCGCTGTGTGGCTGTAGCCTTACCTTTCCAGTTGACACCATTTCTAGATCGGTGTGCAGAACGGCTCAACAACTTGAAGACTTCTCCAGAAGCTGTTAGTGGATACAGCTTTGCAATGGCTGCTTTGTTAGGTGGAGTCCATCAGTGTCCTTTGGGCATTCCTCATGCCAAAGGAAAGGTATGACACAGATCAAAGATTTGTAAATGCTGTCGGGTGAGCTTCAGTCTTTAGTGGAACACTGATGTGCTTAATGTTGAACTGGGTGATCAAATAACAATCAAATAACAATTTTATTATGGCAATATAGAATATAGTGTTAATAGGCCCTAATTGAAATTTCATTCTGATGTATAGATAATAGGTTTTGTATGGGTATAATATCATGTTATAATTTATTTTAGAGGAAAAACAACTTCAGAGTATTTATTTAAAACTCAGCTCTTTTCATGTTGTAGAACTGAAATTCATATTGCTGTATTCAAAGATGACAGGAGAATATACTATTGACATTTCAATAATACTTAAGCATATTGTGACTAGCTTTTTAAATTCTTTTTTTTCTGGGCCCAAGTCCATTCAATCTTCCATTTTCTGGGCTCTGTGACTATTTCTAGAGGAATCTCAGCTTCCATATCCTTTGTAATGATTGTTATCTTGTTGCTTATTTTTCATGAAGTCTTTTTCTCCCATCTTTCTCACACCATTTTCATATTTCACATATGCTTAGGTAGGACACGTTCTGATTTCTCACTTTTCTGTTCAGAGTAGTTCTGTAGCTTTTCCCTATTCCTTTTTCAGAGGTCTTTCTTACACTAGAATTTATTACTCACCTGTATCTGTTTAGAGACCTAATTTAAGTTCCATCTCCATGAAATCTTTTTTTCTTTTAATATTTATTTACTTATTTTAGTTGTAGTTGAACACAATACCTTTGTTTTATTTATTTATTTTTTTATGTGGTGCTGAGGATCGAACCCAGGCCTTGCATGCACTAGGTGAGTGCTCTACCACTGAGCCACAACCCCAGCCCTCCATGAAATCTTTTCAAAGGCATTTAGTCCATATTAGTCTTTACTGAATCTGAGCTCCTATTTTGTCATTTAATCATGCACTGCTTACTACTTTGCATTCTTCCTGTGTCTTCTTTATCTAAAAGATACCTTAATTCCAGAAGATTAGCTTAGCTTAAAGACCACTAATAATAGCATTTATTCAGTGGTTACATGGGCTAGCACTGTTCTAAATACTGTATTAACAAATTTAATCCTGGCAAGAGTGAGATAGATACTACTATCTTTCTTATTTTACTAACAAGGGAAGTAAGGCCAAGAGATTCAGCTGTCTCAGGTCATAAAGCTTGTACATGGCAGAGTTGGGATGTGAACCCAAGCAGTTTGGCTCAAGAGCTTACTCTTTACCACTGTTGTGAGTCACCTCCGTCATCAGTGTATTCAGATCTAAATAGATATTGTATTGCCTCTTTGAAAACATTAGTTAACTACAATAGCATGGAGATAATTTCTTTTAAAATTAAGTATACTGGTTATCTATTTTTTTGTTTGATTTCTTCAGCTTATTCAAATTGCAAACTATTTCTAAATTTCTCTTATAGATGGTAGTTAGTATTGCTGAAGATCTGTTACGAACTGCTGCCCAAAATAGCAGATTGTCTTTACAGCGCACTCAAGCTGGCTGGCTTTTACTTGGAGCACTTATGACTTTAGGTACAACTATATTTGAGTAGAATTTTGTCTTACTCTGTAACTGTCAGTGGACTATAAAGAAAATTTAATATGAAGCATTAAATTCCACATTCTAGACTTTGAGGTTGTAAAATGGTAAAGATGTTTTGTTTGGTAGTTGATATCTCTTTAGTAATTTCTACTGAAGTACATTTTATGAAAAAATTTTTAACAAAGTTTCACCTTTGCTATCAGAATAACCATTGTCTACTTTATGAATTTACAGTTAATCAAAAGAGCTGAAAATGTGGGGGTGGAAATTCTATTTCCTAAGTGAAGTCATGATTTTAATAGAGTGATAAAGTCAAATTTAAGCCATATTGTTGGTGCTGCTTTTGGGGCATCCTTATGTGCTTTGCTTTCCTAATAACTATGATAAATCAGATTTAGGCAAAGTTTAGCATTTTGCATAGGACTGAAATACAGTTATCATTGTGATGAAGTATGTCCACTTTTTAATTCACATGTTTAGCTATTACTATAAAAAACGTTGTGTGTTTACTCCAAATTTAAAGTGGTAACTCTTTTTTAGAAGTTTACATTAAGTATGTAAATGGTATGTTGAGTGAATTCCTTAGCAATGTAAATATATGCCCCTAGTTCGGAATATATTGCTCCTCCGTGAAACTAAATGAGCCATATACATTGTCCCTCAAATGAAGGAATATGTATTTGTGTGTGGGAGTGGGTGAATATGTTTATGTACACATATGTATTTATGAAAGCAACCTCATGAAATATATTCCAGATAGATTTTATTATTAATAATATGTAATCCACCATCCTGAATATAGTTGACTAATTTTTTTTTACTTTTTATGTATTTATTTTATGCTTAGATACCAAAAATATTTGATGCTTTTAAAGTGAATTTTAAGCCAGGTGCAGTGGCACACAGGAGCTCAGGAGCTCAGGAGACTGAGGCAGGAGGCAGGAGGCTCACAAGTTCAAGGCCAGCCTCAGCAACCTAGCAAGGCCCTGAGCAAATTAGTAAGACCCTGTCTCAAAATTTAAAAAAATAAATAGACTGGGGATGTGGCTCAGTAGTTAAGCACCCTGGATTCAATCCCCAGTAATCCCCAACCAAAAAAGAAAGAAAGAAAATAAATTTTGTTATGCTTTAATAAATGTTTATTTTACTCACTAGACGAAAAAATTTGAAATTAACGTCAAAAATTTAAAAATAAGTGAAACGGTAGAGATATTTTTAAAGTTTCTTTGACTTTTGTTCGTAATGTATGTTACATATTTATGGTTCTATACTCTTTATTTTCTTGGACAGGACCATCTGTTGTTCGTTACCATCTGCCCAAGATGTTGTTATTATGGAGAAATGTTTTCCCTCGTTCTTTAAAGGAACTGGAGGCTGAGAAGGCCCGAGGCGATTCTTTTACCTGGCAGGTAACTTTGGAAGGTCGTGCTGGAGCTTTATGTGGTAAGAACTGAAAGAATTTCACTTTCAGAATATTATTTGTGAATGGAAGGAAAATCACTATTTCATTTTTTTATTTTACTATCTAATGTTAAATTTGTAGACTTTTAGATTTTAGAAAGAGGAGCAAGGTATAACAGTGGTAGAATGTGTGGTTAGCATGCATAAGAGGCCCAGGACTGTAAAACAAACAAACAAGAAAACTTACCATTAGATTTAGAAAGAAGTTTGTATAAATAATAGTAGTTAAAATTTTGCTCTTTTATAATAAAAGTGAAGCTGAGAGTCTAAGAAACTGGTAAGATAGGAGCTAGGACCTAAGCCTGTTTATACCAGTAGTTGCAGTCTTCATCTGTCAAAAAAAGTTCCACATTAAAAAAAAAAAAGTACAACAAGAAACAGCATTACCAGGATTACTAAGTTTAAATTGGTTCTTTCATAATGGAAAAGCACCTTTTTTTTTCTTTTTCAGTGTTGTCAAATCTACAAATGTTGATGTGTTTTTTTAGACATCAGCATTACAAAAACGATGGAACAGTCGTTTTTGTGTGGGAGTCAGCAGTTTACAGGAAAGGCTCAGGTTTTGTTTCTTTTGGGAACTAGAGTTCACTGGGTGTCCTGTGGGTTTTTTTTTTTTTTTTTTTTTTTTTTGGCTTATCTCAGGATAAAAATACTTCTTTTCCCAAACCGGAAGAGAAAGAGATATTTAACCATGAGGGTGGTAGGGAAAGGTGTTTTAGTCTTAGCTCTATTCTAAAGAACCAGTGAAGATATTCCTTCTCACTGGACCATTTTGTCCATAAAATGGTCCAGTGAGAAGGAATATCTGTCTTAAACCTGCTTGCTTCCTTCCATCCTTCTTTCCTCCTTCCCTCCTGCCCACCCTCCCTTCCTCCCTCAAATAAGAACTGTCATTTTGCTGTTCCTGAAGAGGCACACAAAGTTCAATTTTGAAGGATGAAAGCTGTCCATTCTTCAGACAAATAGAGCAAAGTGTTTTCCAGCCTCCTCACATAGTAAACTGAATCTCAGAATAGCTTTAACAATAAGGCATATATTAGCACACAGTCAAGAGCAATGTGAGGCAGGGAGTTACCAGTTGGTGAACAGAAGGCTGGAAAAGTGAACCCAACTGTGTCATTTGAATCTGATAAAACAACTTTTCCATGAAGAAAGTAAGTCATTTTTTGGAAGCCTCCAGCAGACTGCAGAGTAGGTTTTCCTGGTAAAAACTAGGCTATAAGTATGCTTTAATCAGTCAGAAAAGAGAAGGAATTCTCCTTGAGGGCCCAGGTGTTCAAGACTTCCTCCAGGGAATAAGCATTTGCCTTCCTTTATATGCTCCAGTGACTGATGAACATTGTGCAAGGCGGTAGATGAAGATGCCTTCCACCAGAGAAGGTGGCAGTGATTTAACTCTGTCAAGGAACCCAGTCAGTTGAGAATGTGCATGGCAGCTCTTATAAACCTCACCCATGCCTGAATACATGGGGACTCTCACCCCATGGGTACTAGAAAGTATGATATTTAACTTTAGGCAGATGGTTCCTTCACATAGCCTCTGAAAAAGAGGACACACTCTACAGGTCTAAGGCCTCTCTCAAGTGTGAACTTTTAGGAGCTGTTAAACTTGGGCTAAAGACTTCTCCATATTTGTTGCTTTCATGATATCCCTACATGTTGTGACATTTTTGGTAGTGAATGAGGATAGAGCATTGACTAAAGGAATTCCCACATGTGTCACACTCATAAGGCCTTTCTCCAGTGTGAACTACCTGGTATTGAATGAGGCCAGACTTTTGGCTAACAGATCTTCCATACTAGTTACACTCACAGGGTCTCACTTCAGTGTGAAGTCTCTGGTGTTGAATAGATGCAGCTTTGACTAAAGGATTTCCCATATTTACTACATTTATAAGGCCTTTCTCCAGTGTGAACTCTCTGGTGTTTAGCGAATGTGGCTTTGTGGTTAAAGGATTTTCCACACTGGCCACACTCATAAAGCTTTGCTCTAGTGTGAATTATCTGATGTTGGTTAAGAATGGCATTTTGACTAAAGGAATTCTCACACTCATCACACCTATAAGGCCTTTCTCCAGTGTGAACTCTCTGGTGTAAATCTGTTTTTTTTTTTTTTTTATTCATCTGAATTCCTGTGAGGTTATAGTCTTCTCCACTCACAGGAGTCTCCCCAACACGTTTTCTCTTTATTTCCATTGTCCATCCTTCTTCTAGCCTTTTCTAATGATTTTTCTCTATAGTTCTTGGTGGATTTTTTTTTCTGGTTTGATATAGTTTGAGAACCTTATAATAATTGAGAATTGTAGGTGCTTTTATATAATTTTATAAGTTTAATAGTTCACAAAAGCTGCTCTAAATTTGTCCTTTTAAAATTTATCTAGCTATGAGGAGTTTTGTTGCACATTGTCCTGAACTCCTAACTGAAGATGTGATTAGAAAATTAATGACCCCTATTGAATGTGCCATGACTATGATGTCACAGTAAGTAAACACTTATAACAAGTTAACAACCTGTTTATATATTAATAAATAAATTTATTCATTTATGTGTTCCTCAGTCATTTTTATRCTTCTTTCTAGAGTTATATAGGAAACATAAAACTATTTTGTAAAGTGACTTTTAAAATTATATTAATTATGCATATTAAAATATAGTTATGCTGGGCACGGTGGCACATACCTGTAATCCCAGTGGCTAAGAAGGCTGAGACAGGAAGATTGCGAGTTCAAAGCCAGCCTCAGCAATTTATCAAGGTGCTGAGCAACTCAGTGAGACCCTATCTCTAAATGAAATACAAAATAGGGCTGGGGATGTAGCTCAGTGGTTGAGTGCCCCTGAGATCAATCCCTGGTACTCCCCAAAATAAATAAAAAATATAGTTGTTTTTAAATGCATTTCTTACATCAAATATCACAAAATAAACTAAGATGAAAATTTAATATTTACCAAGGTATTGTAATGGTACATTTATACATTACTAAAGATGCACTGCTAAAGGTTTATAAGTAATGCTTAGTCTAGTAAGCTGATTCCAACTCTGCTTTCAATATTGTAGCATTCCATCTGTCATTAAAGCCCATGGAGCTCATCTGAAAGCTAGTGCTGCAATGGTCCGTTTAAGACTTTATGACATCTTGGCTTTGTTACCTCCAAAAACTTATGAAGGTAAATAAAATTTGCAGTATCTGATAGAAATTGTTCAGTGTGCCCTTGAAGATCCTCACAGTATTAAAGAGTTCTGACCAGGGCTTTCCCATTGGCTCACTGTGCAAAGGAGGAGCACCATTTTACTATTCTTCATGCAGAGTAGCTCACATTGTTAAGTTCTTACTGTATTGTAGGTCTCATTCTAAACCTTTACATGTATTAGATCCTGTGACTCTAACCCAGCTCATGAGGCAATTGCACATATTCTGTAGATGGAGGATCTCATATAGCGAGAGGTGAAGTAACTTTCCCAAGTCTTAGAAACCAAAAGTGGTAGAGCTTGGATTCAAACCCAGATGGTTTATCTTTAAAGTCTATACTTTTAATTACCCTCCTAAACTGCTTCATATATATTGTAATATATAGCCAATAATTTGGATAGCCAATAATAAGGATCTGAAAGAATAGTTATGTACTTTGCAGAAATCAAATATTATATAAAATGTTAATATTAAAATAATTTCTTTTTTTATAAATTTATTTTTTTATTTGTAGATGGACACAATACCTTTATTTTACTTATTTATTTTTATGTGGTGCTGAGGATCTTACCCAGGGCCTCACCTGTGCTAGGCAAGTGCTCTACCACTGAGCCACAACCCCCCACTAAAATAAACAATTTCTTTCCTATATAACTGTGCCCAAGAATTTTGATGTTTTGGTTCAGTGTTGGCACTTATTGGGCAATGAACAATAAATAATAATCATGTTACATTTACTATATTTAAAATAAATGATCTACCCTCTCTGTAAATTTTTTAGTCACTTTAGTTTTGACCAAAAGCATAATACAATAATAAAACAAAAATATCATTATTGTGTATTAAGACTGGAATTTAGGGGCTGGAGATGTGGCTCAGCGGTAGCGCGCTTGCCTGGCATGCGTGCGGCCCGGGTTCGATCCTCAGCACCACATACCAACAAAGATGTTGTGTCCGCCGAGAACTAAAAAATAAATATTAAAAATTCTCTCTCTCTCTCTCTCCTCTCTCACTCTCTCTTTAAAAAAAAAAAAAAAGACTGGAATTTAAATATGTAATATATATTTTAGACTGGGCACAGTGGAGTGTACCTATAGTCCCACTTTCTTTGGAAGCTGAAACAAAAGGATCACTTGAGCTCAGAAATTCAGAGTCAGCCTGGGCAACATAGTGAGATCCCAACTCTGAAAAAAATATAAATCAACATAGATTTTTAGTAAAGGGTATAGGAACTTATTTTATTTCTGTTGAACATGTTGCTACTTTTTGTGGGCAATGATTGTAATTTTGATAAAATTATTATTTTTAATCTGATTTGAAGTTCTGTGTTTTAGGATCTTTCAATGCACTTCTTAGAGAACTAGTAGCAGAATTTACTTTGACTGACAACTCAGCCAACACAACCACCTCCCTTCTCCGATCTCTTTGCCATTATGATGATAGCGTTCTTCTTGGATCCTGGCTTCAAGAAACTGATCATAAATCAATTGAAGACCAGGTAGTAAACCATATAGGGAAATTAAATCCTAGTTTAATCTAAAACAGTGGTTCTTTTACCAGTTGTTTTTTTAAAAGAAAATATAGTGAACCAATGTTTAGTTTTCATTTAGCTTTCTTAGACACTTAACAATAGCATCTTGGTGGTAGATAAGTGGTGAACAGCATTAGTTATGATTTGGCAAATTGTCTTTCTTCAGTATTTTTTATATTTGAATACCCTGTGGTGGCTATGGGAAACTTTAGTTTTAATGGGCTTTTGGTTATTTTAATGGGCTTTTTAGTTTTAATGGGCTTTTGGTTATTGGTGTTTTTGTTGTAGTTCGTTTTGTTGTGTGATAGGTTGGAGAGGTGTGAGAGTTAGTAGATTGAAGATTTAGAATCTCTTTTGCCAACAGAATATGTTATTTCCTATGTGCTTTTTAAAAAGAAATATTAAGTCCATTTTAAATATTTTTGTGGATTTAGATATTGCTGATTTATTTTGCCTCACACACTAAGGTGTATGGTATAAGAATGTTTTAGAATGAAGAAGACTTTTATTAAAATCCTATAAGGTATTACTGATGACTTTTCAAAACAAAATTTTACTTTTATCTGTTTTTAAGTTTTCATATCCAATCATTCTTTTTTATTATTACCTTTTCTTCTTCCTCCCCTGCTCAGTTTTTCATACTAAATACTTAATAAGTGAATTTCCTGAAGTAGACTTTGAGTAATTTTTATGTCACTCTTTTGCAGCTCCAGCCAAACAGTGCATCTGGAAGTGGGGCTCTGGAGCATGACCCTTCCTCCATTTATTTACGAATACCTATTGGTGAAGCTGTACCTGGTCCTCTCCCTCTTGGAGTCTCAGTGATAGATGCCTCTGTGGCTCTTTTTGGTGTAGTGTTTCCTCATGTTTCATATAAACACCGGTTAGTATAAAGTCAATCAGGTAATTTTAGTTAAGTAAATTTTCCCATCCCAATTAACTCCTCAATAAAGTGAGCTACTACTTAAATAGTATTCTCAAATTTACTGACACAAGTGACACATACCATATAAAATAAAGTGAATGAAAATTCCATGTAATTTGAAAATGTGTTTAAGATTCGACCTTGTGTGCTAGTGTCTGGTATTATGGACTATGTCTTGCCCAATAAAGAATTTCATTCTAATGGCTTATTTCACAGTTTATAAGAGGTTTGACCCTACCTTTAGGGATATCACTTTGCTAATTCTATTGTTTGTATTACTGAAGGAGTAAATGTATGGAAAATCTATTCTCTAATAACATTTGTCTGTAAGGTGGTTTAAGTCTGGAACTTGAGAAACTAAGTTAACTCATTCTTTTTTGTACCTGAAGCATTTTAGTTTGCTGTATTTTATAATCTATAGTCACCATTCCTAATATGAGCAGGCATTTCATATATTTATGATTTGCCACAAAAAAAGCAAAAATGAATTAATATAAGACTTTCAAAGATAATTTGAAAGTTATATGAATATGTATTTGTATGTAAAAGATTAAAAAGCTGGAATTCCTCTACTGGGGACTGCCTGATCCACACACCTCCAAGTGTTACTTCCATTTTACAAAATAAGCACTTTATGCTTTTCTTAAAAAAATAAAAATATCAGATAATCTTTAAATATGTAGATTGCTTAATTGCTTTTGAATTTGCTTTTTATATTCAACTTTAATTATAAAAAATTTACCTTACCTAGATATCTTTAAGAACATTCGATTGCCACATAATTGTTAAAGAACGTTAAAGGTGAAAGAATCCTTACAGCATCTATCTAACATCCTTATTTTAAATCTTCTGTTTTAGTCTTTTGCAGTGTTAGGGATCAAACCTTGGGCTCATATCTGCTAGGCAAATGCTCTACCACTGAGCTGCATCCCCAGGTTCCTTATTTTAAATCTAAGGAAATCTAGATCTAAGAGTTTATAAGTTTCCAATTATTCAGCTAGTTATGAGAGCGTTAACTAAAATCCAGGGTTGTTGTAACTGTATCTGATATCTTTTGTGAAAAAAGGTGAAGTATAAATAAATAAATTTTATTAAAAATATAAATGCAAATAACCACCAATATGGGGTTAAGTGAATAAATAATGGAAAGTCCATAGGTTAGGATGCTTTTTAATAGAGATGATGTTTTGATGTGAGAAGTGCTCATGGCACAATGATAAAATTAAAAAGGTAAAATAAATGACAGGAGGTGATCCCAGTTTTGTTTCTTAAAGTACACAAAAATGTACAAGAACAGGACAGGGGTTGTGGCTCAGTGGCAGAACACTTGCCTCATACATGTGAGGCACTGGATTCAATCCTTAGCACCACATAAAGATAAATAAACAAAATAAAGATACTGTGTCCACGTATAACTAAAATATTTTTTTAAAAGATATTTTAAAAAATGAACAAGAACATATTTATGTGTTTACGTAAGGTAAAGACCTAAAAGGAAATGTTCCAGGAGCTACTTATTCCCTTAGTAGTAACTTTTAAAAATATTTTTCCAGGGGCTGGGGATGTGGCTCAAGCGGTAGTGCGCTCGCCTGGCTACCTGCGGCCCGGGTTTGATCCTCAGCACCACATACAAACAAAGATGTTGTGTCTGCCGAAAAACTAAAAAATAAATATTAAAAAAAATGTATTTTTCCAAATTAAATGGGATAAACATTTCATAATGAGGAAAAAAGTTCTGTTTTTAAATAAGCTTTTAAAAAGGTATGTGTTTGAGGTCAGATGTGAGGTTCTGAAAAATGTTTTGACCTGAGAACTCTGACCTGTTATAAATTGAGCTGAATCCTAATAGTGACCTTTGAGAAAGTTTGATTTTTTGCTTTAGGTTATAGTTGTCCTAGTATATACAAAATATCCATTTTCTCTGGATCCCTTTGCTCTACCCGTTTCTTTTTAGAAGAATGGTCTCACTCTTTTTWAAAAAATTTTAAAAATATGTTTATTTTATTTATATGTGGTGCTAAGGATTGAACCCAGGGCTTCACACGTGCTAACCCAGTACTCTACTGCTGAGCCACAACGCCAGCCGTCACTCCTTTTTAATTAGAATAGTCTTAAATGGCCAAGAATTTTTTTAAAACAGTCTTTTTGAAAAAAAAATTGAAATAATAAAATTCACATCTAGTTTTTATATTTCAAAATTGACCAAAGCTAAATTTTTTTTGAAATCCCAATAGCTTATAAGATTAAAACATGGTGTACTCTTGTCTTCTATGCAAGAATGTTTGAAAAAAGAAAATAATTATGCCACATTTTTAAAGAAGTTTCAACTGATAACTCTACCACAGAGATATGTAATTATTGATTATTATTATATTCAGGAAACTGTGAATACTTTGTGTTAGTCAGCTTTCCATCACTATAACAAGATACCTGAGACAACTAATTTATAAACAGGAAAGATTAATTTTTTKGGGGGGGGTATTGGGGATCGAACTCAGGGTCACTCAGCCACTGAGCCACATCCCCAGCCCTATTTTGTATTTTATTTAGAGACAGGGTCTCACTGAGTTGCTTAGTGCCTTGCTAAATTGCTGAGGCTGGCTTTGAACTCACCATCTTCCTGTCTCAGCCTCCCAAGCCACTGGGATTACAGGTATGCACCACCATGCCCAGCTAATTTTGGCTTACAGTTTTGAAGGTTCCAGTCCTTAATCCATTGGCCTGATATTGGGTTTTGGTCCTGTGGTGAGGTAACATAGCTGGAGCACAGAAACTGTGCTCACCTCTTGGCAAAGAGAGAGGGGGAGAAACTTGGGGTCTTACTATCACTTTCGAGGGCACATCCCCAGTGACCTTCCACAAATTTCTACCACTTAAAGTTCCACCACCTCCCAAATGCCACTCTGGGTATCAAGTCCTTAACACAGGGGCCTTTGGGGAGCATTCAAAATGTAAACTATAAGCTGGGCATAGTGGCGCATACCTGTAATCCCAGCAGTTTAGGAGGCTGAGGCAGGAACATCAAGAGTTCAAAGCCAGCCTCAGCAATTTAGTGAGGCTCTAAGCAACTCAGTGAGACCCTGTCTCTAAATAAAATACAAAATAGGGCTGGGGATGTGGCTCATTGGTTGAGTGCCCCTGGGTTCAATCCCTGGTACAAAAAAAAAAAAAGATGGAAACTGTAGCACACCTATTATATGTTAGGCAGTGGGTTGGACACTGGTGTTAATGTTTAAGGACCACTACAATTATAACTTAATTTTGCTAATTGAAACTTAATATTTAGTTTTTTTTTGTTTGTTCACAACTATACATTAATTCAGGAGAAAAAGATCTGGTTTGGATCAGTTATGTGAATAGAAAAGAGACAACATGAGGTATTATTTGCTACACAATTTGTACTCTTTGCTTTTTTTTTAGGTATATTTAAATAAGAGCATCACTAATATGATCTTTGTCCTATTATTATAGATTACAAATGCTGGATCACTTTGCTGAATGTGTTAAACAAGCCAAAGGTGTCCGCCAGCAGGCTGTGCAGCTTAATATATTTACTGCTGTTCTTAGTGCACTCAAGGTATTTACTTTTAGACCATAATAAATATTATGAAATAAGATGTTAATTCATTTAATAAGTTAGGAATCTCAAGATTATTATAATGCTTACGTTTATGTATACTTGATAACTGTGCTTTTTAATATTAACTTAATAAAGTTGTTAAAAACTTTATTGGGCTCATTGTAATTAAATATGTATTTTATATTTTAGTAATGTTAAAGTTTGTATTTTGATTTGAATCTCAGATTTTATATGTGCCAATAATTTCTTTTGGAATTTTCAAAGATGCCTGATTAAAGAAATAATGGGTTTTCTAGCCAGGCATGGTGTGCGTATCTGTAATCCTAGTGGCTTGGGAGGCTGAGGCAGGAGGACTACAAGTTCAAAACCTACCTCAGAAACTTAGTGAGGTCCTAAGCAACTTAGCGAGACCCTATCTCAAAATGAAAAATAGAAAGGGCTAGGGATGTGACTCAGTGGTTAAACACTCCTGGAGTTCAATCCCTGGTACAAAAAAAAAATAATGATTTCTAAAGATGTTCAAGTTCAATTTTTTATTTAGACTATAAATCATAAAGACTGTTTATGTAGTTGAAAGACTGTTGTGTGGAGGGATTGTCTTCTTGTTTAGTTACTTACTAGGTTTATGATTAGTACAATTCCCTTAACCTTTATTGAACTAGTTTCTACTTAATAAAGTAGAATAACAGATATTTTGCCTAGCTCACAGAGGTCATGCATCATACTGTGTATCCTTTCATAAGGTATTTGAAAGCTTTTTATATCATTTAGCACTAAAGAAAGTGGTCACAAATACAGGTCCTTAAATGAGCATATCTTTAGTTATGTTTTACAAAGATTAGGTAAAAGAGATATAAGCATTTTTTACAGAAGTAAAGGTTGATACTGTTTATATAATCAGTAGTATGTGTCCTATTTAGAGATCATAAAGTAATACTGACATTTGATGGTTTTTTCCTTTTGTTTTTTGGTACCAGGGATTGAACCCAGGGTGCTTAACCACTGAGCCACATCCCTAACCTTCTTAAATTTTTTTTTTTAATTTTATTTAGGGACCACATCTTTCTAAATTGCTTAGGGCCTTGCTAAGTTGCTAAGGCTGGCTTTAAACTCACAATCTTCCTGTTTCAGCCTCCTGAGCCACAGAGATTACAGGCATGCACCACACCATCATGCCTAGCAGACATCTAAATTTTTTTAAAAAAAGAAATGAGGTGTTTGGGGACTCCCTTAGAGGATAGTAGAATAGTGGACTACTGCTGTACAGATTATACTTTTCTTCATAGAAAAGTTGATGCCTCTKTTGTCATTAACATTTTCTTCTGGCACCATGACTTAGATTTTTGGTCTCAAATAAGTAAATTCAATTCAAGAACAGTGACTGGGGAAATGGATGGCATTAGAGCAGATTATGCTAAGTGAAGTTAGCCAATCCCCAAAAAACAAATGCTGAATGTCTTCTGATATAAGGGGGGGTGACTCAAAATGGCATAGGGAAGAAAAGCAGGGGAAGAAGATTACCTCTACATAGGGAAGAGGGATGGGAAAGAAAGGGAGGGAGAAGGGAAATTACATGGATGGTGGAAGGAGTCCCTCATCATTATACAAAACACATGTATGAAGATATGAGAAAAAAAAGAGAGAATAGCATTACCTTAGATTAGGTAGAGAGAAGTGATAGGAGGGGAGGGGAGGAGATGGGGGGATAGGAAGGATAGTAGAATGAAACAAACATTATTTTTACTGTGTGTATATATGTGACTACATGACCAATATGATTCTGCAACCTATACACTCAGAAAAATGAGAAATTATATCCCTTCTGATTCAAATGTATGATATGTCAAGGTCATTGTACTGTCATGTATAACTAATTAAATCAAAACAATAATACAAAAAAAAAAGAACAGTGACTGTAGCTAGAACAGGGATATTAGCATTCAGTATGATGAACAAATTATATCAACACTGAATTACTGATTCTTTTTACTGAATTTTGCCTTATGCCTATATTGATTATACTCAAAGATATAATTCTTTGAGTATATTATACTCAAAGATATAATTCTTTTATAGAATTCTTACATAGATGAATCAAAATTTCATACTCATCAGGCCTGGTCTTTCTATTTTTTCTTTCTTTCTTTCTTTATTTTTTTTAGTTATAGGTGTACACAGTATCTTTATTTTATTTTTATGTGGTGCTAAGGATCAAACCCAGTGCATGGTAGGTGAGTGCTCTACCTCTGAGCCACAACCCCAGACCAGGCCATGTCTTTCTTTAGAGTGATAAATTTCAATTTCAGTTAATTAAAGGTTGATTTATTAATATAGTATCCTTTATATACAAAAGCAACATTTGAGTATTAGGCTTTGGATAGAAACTCTCCCAGGGATTGCTGGTCTTAGGACCAGTTGAACTGTTGATTGTTATTTACCATGTTCTGAAATCATATTTAGAAAAGTGATTACTATCAATTAATAGGTATTTGTTCTAGGTACAGTATATGCTTGGGAAAGTTGGCTGAAGAAAATAATATATGAATATATTTGTATATTTACAGAAATTACAGAATATTCGCCTTTTATTTTATTTAATATTTCATTATTTTTAAAATCAATGTAGGGTTTAGCTGAAAACAAAAGTACTTTAGGACCTGAGGAAGTTCGTAAATCTGCTCTGACACTGGTTATGGGTGCTCTTGACAATCCAAACCCAATCTTACGGTGTGCAGCAGGAGAAGCTCTTGGAAGAATGGCTCAGGTGGTTGGAGAAGCGACTTTTATAGCTAGAATGGCTCAATATAGCTTTGACAAGTAAGTCTCTTTACTAACAAGCTTTTAATAATAACTCTACCAGTGAACTACACCCCCAGCTAACCAACTATTTTTATTATTATTTTTTTTGACAATACTTAGGATTGAATTCCAGGAGTGCTCTACCTCTGAGATACATTCTCAGTCCTTTATATTTTTTTATTTGGAGAAAGGGTTTTGCTTAGTTGCTGATCTTCCTGCTTCTCCTGAGTACCTGGAATTATGAGCGTGGTCACCTGATTTAAACAACTATGTTAAATTGAAGCTCTAACTCTTGTAAGGGAGTGAAAAAAGTGAATCACAGTGTAATATTTTCTGATTTCTACAATATTTTCTCTTTTTTATGTGATCTATGAGATAGTTATTACTAGAGAAGACTCAATTCTAGAAGCATAATCTTTTTTCCAGATTGAAATCAGCTCGAGATGTTGTTTCTAGAACTGGTCATTCCTTAGCCCTTGGCTGTTTGCATCGTTATGTTGGTGGTATAGGCTCAGGACAACATCTAAAGACCAGTGTCAGCATTTTATTGGCTCTAGCACAAGATGGAACATCTCCTGAAGTCCAGGTAGAGTAGTATTAATTTTTATTACAAAATTTTAAATAATTATTTTAAGAAAATTATTTGCTTTGTAAAATAATAATGACCAATAAGTTGTTTGGAAAAATATATTGTGTTCTTTCCCTGTTATTTTGTTTTAGGTGTCTTATTTGTAATAGTATATAACAAGATTTTGCTTTTCAACCTAACCTTAAAGTCTGCCTTATTTTGGGAATTAACTCCATTTACATATACTCTTTCAAACATATTTTATTTTTATTATTTGTTGTTCTTTGTACATTTTTCTTCTTTTTTTGTATTTCTTTACATTTGATTGATCAATTTTGTTTCAACTTACTATCCTTCTCTCTCTTTTTTCCTATTACCCTAGCCCAGGTTCTGGGTCATTCATTGAATCTTCTGTTTTATTTCTTGAATTTGTTTTGTTTTTGTGGTTTCTTCTTAAACATTTTATACATAAGTAAATATAACTACAGTAAGAATCATGAGCATGTGGGAAAATATACAATCATCATTTGCCATTTTACATTGATGTGCCCCAAATTATTATGAGTATATGCATATAATAATTCAGTATACTCAATTCAGTTACTTCAGTTCTTCCTTACAACTAAAATAAAGTTAAATTTTATTCTAGACATGGTCTCTTCATTCACTTGCTTTGATAGTGGATTCTAGTGGCCCAATGTATCGAGGATATGTGGAACCAACTTTGTCTCTAGTTCTTACCTTGCTGTTGACTGTTCCACCTTCACATACAGAAGTTCATCAGTGTTTGGGTAGATGTTTGGGTGCTATCATAACTACAGTTGGCCCTGAACTACAAGGTAAGTAAATTCATTTTAAGGTAAAGAAACTAGGCAGATAATTTACTGTCTTTTGATTTCCTGAATGTGACCGTCATGTTGTTTCAAAACATTTTTTTATAATAATAATTACTATCTACTGACTATTTTGGTTTTCCAAAGGCCTGGTACTCAACTTTGTACATGTGTGATTTTTTAAAAAATATTTATTTTTTAGTTGTAGTTGGACACAAATACCTTTATTTGTATTTATTTTTATGTGATGCTGAGGATGGAACTCAGGGCCTCATACTTGCAGGGCGAGTGCTCCACCTCTGAGCCACAACCCCAGCCTGTGATTTTTTTTTAATACCTCCAAAAAACCCATGACATGACAGTATTTTCAAGGTTTGAATACAGAAAATATATTTAAATGGAATTGTACTTGGGGCCCCATGGAAACAAAGATAAAAATGGAGTTCTTTGGGTCTGGAGTGCTATGCACTTATCTTCATGGACTTTTGCTTCGCTTTTTTTGAACCCTAAGGGTCAGGACCATAGTTTGCAAAGCCACTGCCATAAATTAGATAATATCTTTCTAGAAGGAGGCAAGCTCAGAAATTATTTGTTCAGAATTATTCAACATATGAGTGACATGTCTGATCCTGAAACTTACATTCTTACACTCAGGACTAATTCTACTAATATCTAAATTATATGCTCAAATCAGTAAATTATTGTGAATGTATCCTGAATATATAAACCACTTTGAGAATTTTCCCTTTTACCCTCTACCATTTTTTAATTAAATGAAATAAATTATTAAATTTTATTTAATTCTGACAAAAATTCAGATAGGTGTTAACTCCATCTTACAGATGAAATGCTAAGGCTGAGACACATTAAGAACTTTCCCATAGTTTTATATCTATGATTATATGATTTCCTTGTTTGATCTTTATATGTATATAAAATTATTTTACTTTAGAAAAAAATTAATTCACTTATATTTGACTATTAAATTATTTAAACAGTATAATAAATTGTCATTAATCTTCTTAAGAAAGCTGGATTTGAAATAATTACATAATAAAAGTAATAATGTTGATTGAACAGAATGAGAAATCTGGCTCTTTCAAATAAAGCAATGATGATTGTAAATCATAGTATAATATATCAGAGAATAAATATAAATTTAGTTAGCTCTAAGAGAGATGTAAATCCAACTACAGTTGTGTTTTGAAATCATTTCTGTGGACTTGTCAGACTTTTTGTTTTTAAAACAATCTGAATAGAAATTGGAAGAAGATATTATTTAGAAGATAATTATTTTCTAGGAATGTTTTTTGTGATACTAATCAAATAATTATATTCTACATTTTCTAAAAGGGAATGGAGCGACAATTTCTACAATTCGTTCCTCTTGTTTGGTGGGTTGTGCAATAACGCAGGACCATTCAGACTCTCTGGTTCAGGCAGCTGCCATATCTTGCCTTCAGCAGCTCCACATGTTTGCACCACGACATGTCAACCTGTCCAGTCTTGTTCCTAGCCTTTGTGTAAGTATAAAGCTGTTTTATTCATGAATTAATTTAGGGAGCCTCCACATTTCTTTCCCAAAATATCAATCTGGATCCAAACAAAAGATTTAAGTTTACAAAGTTGTGAATCTAGGGTTTCAGCTTCAGTAGTCATTTTATGACTATTAATATTATTCAGGAGTTTTCATTTTTGCCTGTTTTTTTAGTAATACCTTTTTATTTATTGATTTTTTTAAAAAATAAATGACTGCGGAATGCATTACAATTCTTATACAGCACAATTTTTCATATCTCTGGTTGTAATAAAGTGTGTTCACACCAATTCGTGTCTTCATACATGTACTTTGGATAATGATGTCTATCACATTCCACCACCCTTGCTAATCCCTTGCCCTCTCCCTTCCCCTCCCACCCCTCTGCCCTTTCTAGAGTTCGCTTATTCCTTCCATGCTCCCCGATCCCTACCCCACTATGAATCAGCCTCCTTATATCAGAGAAAACATTCGGCATTTGTTTTTTGGGGATTGGCTAACTTCACTTAGCATTGTCTTCTCTAACACCATACATTTACCTGCAAATGCCATGATTTTATTCTCTTTTATTGCAGAGTAAAATTCCATTGTGTATATATGCCACATTTTTTGAATCCATTCATCCACTGAAGGACATCTAGGTTGGCTCCACAGTTTAGCTATTGTGAATTGTGCTTCTATAAACATTGATGTGGTTGTGTCCCTGTAGTATGCTGTTTTTAAGTCTTTTGGGTATAGACCAAGGAGAGGGATAGCTGGGTTAAATGGTGGTTTCATTCGCAGATTTCTAAGGAATCTCCATACTGCTTTCCATATTGGCTGCACCAATTTGCAGTCCCACCAGCAATGTATGAGTGTACCTTTTTCCCTGCATCCTCATCAACACTTATTGTTGTTTATCTCCATAATAGCTGCCATTCTGAGTGGAGTGAGATGATACCTTAAGAGTAGTTTTGATTTGCATTTCTCTAATTGCTAAAGATGATGAACATTTTTTCATATATTTGTTGATGGATTGTATATCCTCTTCTGAGAAGTGTCTGTTCAGGTCCTTGGCCCATTTGTTGAATGTGTTATTTGTTTTTTTGGTGCTTAGCTTTTTGAGTTCTTTAAATACCCTAGAGATTGTTGCTCTATCTGATGTATGAGGGGTAAAAATTTGCTCCCACCATGTAGGCTCTCTGTTCACCTCACAGATTGTTTCTTTTACTGAGAAGAAACTTGTTAGTTTAAGTCCATCCCATTTATTGATTCTTGGTTTTAATTCTTGTGCCATAGGGGTTTTATTAAGGAAGTTGGGGCCTAATCCCACATGATGGAGATTAGGGCCTACTTTTTCTTCTATTAGATGCAGAGTCTCTGGTTTAATTCCTAGATCCTTGATCTACTTTGAGTTGAGTTTTGTGCATGGTGAGAGATAGGGGTTTAATTTTATTTTGTTGCATATGTATTTTCAGTTTTCCCAGCACCATTTGTTGAATACTATCTTTTCTCCAATGCATGTTTTGGGCACCTTTGGCTAATATAAGATAATTATAATTTTGTGGGTTAGTCTCTGTGTCCTCTATTTTGTACCATTGGTCTACTAGTCTGTTTTGGTGCCAATACCATGCTGTTTTTGTTTGGCTTCATTGTGGGACTTATGGGATGTTTGCCTAGTTGTGAGATTTTCTCCAATACTAGTAAAAAACTTAGGTGAAGCCATTAAGAAACTAGAGACTTTGATAAATTTATAGTTGGAATTTGGTCAAGTAGAATAGATTAAATGGCCACAGGATAAGGGAGACAAGACAGTTCTGAAATTATGGACTGAAGTCTCATTTGGATAGGGAGAAGGGTAAAGACAGGAGAAGGCTAATATATGTGGAGAAAGAAAGTCACTACAGTTGTAACCATGGGAGGATATATATTGAAGGTGAAAGGAGGGAAACATTATCCAGGATAAAGTGAGGGAACTGAAAGGCCAAGATATTAGATGCTACATCTGGTGTAGTAAATTTAGCTTTCCACAACATGATTTGTTCCTGTTTTATTATAGATTAAGGTGAATTCAGTCAGCACAGACTCTCAAGGAGTCTGAGCCAGCCACAGGGCAAAACCAAATCCATGTAAAATGTTCACAAAGAACATCCACAAAGAAAATGTTCAACTGCCAGTATACATTAGATGGCACTCTTTAGCAAGATATTAAGCATCCTGCCAAAAGCCTGGTTTGATGTAGGCTCCAAAGGTATAGATAGTAAATCTTGAGTAAGATGGACTGGACTTATCATATACCTGATACAGCTTAGGCAGCTGACCAAGGTGATGAAGACTCAAATATCCAATCCTAGGTTGTCTGATTCCTCTCTCCATTTTTTTTTTTTTTTAAAGAGAGAGAGAGAGAGGAGAGAGAGAGAGAGAGAGAGAGAGAGAGAGAGAGAGAGAGAGAGAATTTTTAATATTTATTTTTTTTAGTTCTCGGCGGACACATCTTTGTTTGTATGTGGTGCTGAGGATCGAACCCTGGCCGCACGCATGCCAGGCGAGCGCGCTACCGCTTGAGCCACATCCCCAGCCCCCTCTCTCCATTTTTTTTTTTTTTTTTTTTTTTAGTACCAGGAATTGAACCCAGATGTGCTTAACCATGGAGCCGTATCCCCAGCCCTTTTTTACATTTTATTTAGAGATGGGGTCTTGCTGAGTTGCTTAGAGCCTTGCTAAGTTGCTGAAGCAGGCTTTGAACTCATGAACCTCATGCCTCAGGCTCCCAAGCCACTGGGATTACAGGTGTACGCCACCATGCCCAGCGTCCATTTTTTTTTTTCCTCTTTAAATAATTAGCCTGTGGAGGTTGATCTGATACAGTGGAGAACATTTAAGAGGATAAAGTAATGACATGGATTTGTTTACCTCAGTGGAGCTTATCAGTAAGCCACAGGGAACACTGTGTGTTAACACAGGATTTATGTCTCCAAACTGATTCCCTTAATGGAACACCTAGGGTCTTGTTACAAAGCATATTGGATCATCTTCCTGAACCTTTCCAGAAGACTAAGTAGTGAGATTATAGTCATCTGGTGGAAAGGAGGTGGTATACCAGACTGAAGATGAGAAAATGGGCATTCAAGTGGATGTCTTGTTTGAATAGCACCAAAAGCCTCTCATGCTGTATTCATTAACTAGATTGTTAGATGCTCTGAAAAATAGTTTACACTTGGGTTCCTCCAGATTAATGAAATTAATTCAGATTTTTATAAGTTTCATGTTCATTTCTACTCAGTCATTGCCACCAAAAATGATTATATTATCTGACACCATATGTAATACCTAAAACAAATAAAATGTGATTTTTTTAGCATATGCGTTAAGATGCATTTCACTATAGTAATCTTGATTAAATGATATAGAAATATTAAAATATATGAACTATTCAATAGAGCTATTCAAATGTATTTTTTGAAGAACAAGTACCATTCTGAATTATTATAATTTCTGTCCTGGCAGGCAACTTTTTCTATCATGTGACCATAGTTATTCATTCTCTTGTCTGACATAATCACTTCTGCATATAGGCATTTAGGTCATCTGGGATAATTTTAGGAATTGTCAATGTGAGAATTTGAAATTTATTTTTGTGATTAAAAAAGTCTTCTATTTTTTTTCTCTTAAGATTTCTTTTTGGGGGAGGGTATTACATCATTCCAAATAAGCATAAGATGGCACAGAATGTTATTATATATGGCCAAGAACATAAAGTTGCCATTGCTGCAGTTTTTCCATTGACATGAATTAGAACAACTAGAGTTTACAATTTTAATTATAGGCATTTATTTTTTATTATTCAAGCCTAGTTTAGGTTGAAAATGTAGAATATAAGTACAAGATGCATATATGTGTATATAAGCTATTTATATATGGTTTGGTTTGATTGTCCAACATGGTAGGACCCAAAAGCCACAAACAGAAAAGCATAGCAAGGCACATTGCTAGCCTGGGGAAAGATCAAAAATTGAAATATGATTTCTACTGAATTTGTATCACTTTCACACCATTGTAAATAAAAAATTACTAAATCAAACCATTTTAAGTTGGGAACTATTTATATAGACAAATGGAACACAATTGGTTATCCAGAATTGGATTCACACATGTGTAGTTTTAATTATTTATGGCTATGGCACCATTAAAACTTGCTGTAGAAAGGATTATCTTTTCAAGAAATTCAGGGATTGTGAGATATCATCTATTGTACCTTGCATCTTAAACATCACAGATGTTAAAATGAGAAAGAAAAATATATCTCTGGAGGCACATGCCTGTAATTCCAGCAACTCCAGAGGCTGAGACAGGAGGATCACAAGTTTGAAGCCAGCTATAAGATTTTAAAGAGATCCTGTCTCAAACAATTAAATTAAGGACTAGGGGTGTAGCTCAGTGGACAATCAAACCAAACCGTATATAAATATCTGTGGTTTGTTCAATCCCCAGTACTAAGAAGAAGAAGAAAAAAAGGATGTTTCAGAATACCTGAAATGGAAATTTTGAAAACATATTGTAAACTATAGAATATCTTATTTCTTTTTCTTTGACTGTATCTTTTTCTTTGTTGAGGGTATTTTCTTAGAATTTTTTGTAATTGTTATTACTTGTAGTGTTCTATTTCTTGTGTGCTTTGCTCCTTAATTTTTTTTTTGAGAGAGAGAGAGAGAGAGAGAGAGAGAGAGAGAGAGAGAGAGAGAGAGAATGAATGAATTTTAATATTTATTTTTTAGGTTTTTTTTTGGCGGACACAATATCTTTGTTTGTATGTAGTGCTGAGGCTTGAACTTGGGCCGCACGCATGCCAGGCGAGCGCTACCGCTTGAGTCGCATGCCCAGCCCTGCTCTTTGATTCTTTCAACAATTATGTAAGATACATGAGGTGAACATTGTCCCTATTATTAGGACTGGAGCTGGGGCTCGGTGGCAGAGCACTTGCCTAGCATGTGTAAGGCACTGGGTTTGAACCTCAACACCACATAAAGATAAACAAATAAAATAAAGGCATTTTGTTTATCTATAATTGCCAAAAATAAATAAATAAATAAAGCAGAGGTTTTTTTTTTTTTTTTTAATAGACCAAATGACTTGTTTTTCCCATCTGATAAACCGTGGTTGAACTTACTAGTTATACAGTATTGGAAAGTTTGAAAATATCTTTCTTTTTAGGAAGAGAAGTAGATAAAACATTTTGTTGATAAAAGTCTATCAGGTTTTCTCCCTCAGTTTTCTTTTTTCTTGGTATAGATTTCATGAACTATGATTTTTTAATACAAATGTATCTTGAGTTAGCAACACCATATTAATGCATAAGAATAACACTACCTAGCATTGTGAAGTGGTTGTATATTCTGCTCTAACCCCCATCATCATGGCTAGGACTCTTTCTGAAATACTTTATTTGCTTCTTTGCTTAGAAAGCAAAGCATGGAACATAATTTAATGTTTTCTTGATGAGACAGATGTGTAGTAATAATTAATACTTAATGTTTATTGAGTAGCTACCTCGTACCAGAGAATGTTATAAGCATTTTACTTGTATTAACTCATCTATTTTCACTATATTTATGTGAAGAATTACTATTCCCATTTTTATGCATGGGCAGATCCAGGACCATGTAGGAAGAAGTGACAGAGGAGGCAGGATTCAAATTCAGACTGGCATCTGAGCCTGAACCTTAACCATTGTGCTCTGCTGTTCCATATATATATATTTCATCTATTAGAATGTACTGTATTCTTTTAGGAACTTTTCAGATAAAAAAATTCTGTATCAAAACATTCTGTTTGAAGTTATTTTCAAATGTTTATATTTTCTTGATTATTTTTCATCTAAATAAACACTCTTTTGCTTTCAGTTTTTACTATATGCTTTATTCCCTAACTTTTCATTCACTACATTTGATTTTTATATGCTTACAAAATTTGCATGACAAAGTTTAGTGGGACCATGTATAAAATAAGAAGTGTAAAAGATCCTTCTAGATTTTCAAGTAGACATAGTGCATAGATCTTGGCACAGTTATTTTGACTACTAACATTTTTTGTATATCTTACTGGCATTATTATTTTACCAAAATATGATTATTTGGCTATAGTTGAAATAACAGAGGTTATTTAATTAGGAGCCTCTTCACAAGTAATGTGTTCACATATGTTCATTGGGGAAGTGAACTTAAAGAACTACCACTTAAAAACATTCCCTGAAATTGTTATGATTCACAGGTACACTTATGTAGTTCCCATTTGTTACTTCGACGAGCAGCTGTGGCATGTCTCCGGCAACTTGCACAAAGAGAAGCAGCTGAAGTATGTGAATATGCCATGAGCCTCGCAAAAAATGCAGGGGACAAAGAGAGCAGTGGTGCTAGTAAGTTTTCTTACTGGTCGATACTGTTTTTTTGCTTAAGTACTTTCTCATTTCAAATAACCTCAAAATTATCAGATTTGAAATCCAGGACTTAACCCTCATTGTTAGATTTAATTTTAACCCAAAAGATACGTAAACTAGAGACCATAGTTAAATTTTATCTCTGTGTAGCTGGTTTTGTTGCTCTTGTGAATTTACATGAAAAATTTGATCTTTACCATAATTGTTATCTATAGCATACAGCAAAATTCCATGCAAATTGATCTGTAAAAATTACTTTTCAGATGTCAGTCCTTTTGCACCTGGGGTTAGTTCTCGAAGCGATATCCATTGCCGGCACCAAGGTGTTAATATAACAGAAACTGGTCTTGAGGGACTTCTTTTTGGGATGCTTGATCGAGAGACAGATAGAAAATTATGTTCTGATATACATGACACGTTGGGACATATGCTTTCTTCATTGGCAGTAGAGAAACTTTCTCATTGGTTAATGCTTTGTAAAGATGTCCTGGCAGCTTCTAGTGGTATGTATATAATGTTTAAAATAATGAAAATTGTTTTTATTTTTGTTAAGTAGATGTAGATATTTATATATACATATATATGTACATATATATATATACAAGTATATATGAATATACAAGTGTACATCCTACATAAATATAAGCTTACATTTTAAAGTACTTGCTGGGTACAATGGCACACACCTGTAATCTCTGCCACTGGGGAGGCTGAACCAGGAGGATCACAAATCTGTGGCCAGCCTGGGCAATTTAATGAGACCTTTTCTCAAAATAAAAGTTAGACCTTTCTCAAAATAAAACAGGGTTAGGGCTTTAGTTCAGTGGTAAAGCACTTACCTAGCATACATGAGGCTCTGGTTCAATTCCCAGTAATGAAAAGAAAAAAAGAGTACTAATAGTTTTTAATCCCTGTAAAAATATTGAAGGTCAAATTATATTACAAACTAATAATCTTTCTTTAGTTTTTATAAAATGTATTTCAAAAGCTTTTTCAAGTTCAAATTAAATTTTTGTATATAAAAATCTCAACATGTAGTACAAAACAATGTGTAAAACTATTGAAATACATGTGTATTTTGCATTAAAGTAATTTATGATATCCTTTATTAGATTTTTAATTATTTTCTTAAAAAAGCTTGCCAGTTCTACTGTTTTCCAAAGTGAGAATTGATGTTGTTTCTAAAGCATCATGTTTGCTGTAGATAAGGTGTTATATATTCTTTCTTTCTGTTACAGATATGAGTACTGCAACTCCCTTAAGTGGTGGAAAAGATGAAGAATCTGAAAAGAAAGATGAGATGGACGATGATACCATGTTTACCACACTAGGCGAGGAAGATAAATCAAAACCTTTTGTGGCACCTCGCTGGGCCACTCGAGTATTTGCTGCTGATTGCCTGTGTCGAATCATCAATTTATGTGAAAACGCAGACCAGGCTCACTTTGATCTTGCCATGGCACGTTCTGCTAAACTACGAAACCCTACAAGTAAATTTAATACTAGTACTTCTTTTCCTCAAAACATTTTTATAGGTTTGAGATATTTAACAATTATCTAGCATATTTTAGGCTATGCCTTTAATTTGTTGTAAGTTGCTATGCCTTTTATCTTTGTTTTCTGTCCCCTACATGCTGTCCATCCCTATTTGAAAAGTAAGTTGAAGGCATCCAAAGGCAGACATGTCTGTCTGTCTGTCTGTCTATCTATCTGTCTATCTGTCTGTCTATCATTTGCCCTCAGTATAATGATGGCAGCAACTTATGTTTCTTCAGTTCATTGTCTTGGTTGTAGCATTTCCATGTAAAAGAGATGATTAAACTTTAAGATGCATAAATAAAAGGAGCTTTGCAGTCCCAGCCATGGAGACTGTCAGAATTCATGAATGCCATAGCCAATTTCAAACGCTTAGATTTCAGCAATACTATTAGGTATTTTTGAAAAGTTGAAAGTTTTTTAATTTCAGAAACCTCTCACTGCTTTTTGTTTTTTGTAAATCATTTATACCATACATCCTCTGGATGGGATATCATAGGAAATTCACAAAATGATCATCAGGTCCATGCCAATAAAACCTTCATTTTCCAGTTGAGGAGACCCAGAGATGCTAAGGCATGGTCAAGAGGCTCCTATCTTGTACTTTGTTGTCTTTCCATCACCCTCTCATTTTTAAAATATCCAAAGACAAATTATATGTGTTAAAAACATTGAAGTCTATAAATTAAAGTGCTTCTTATGTTATTTCATTGTATACAAGAACCAGCAGAGCTGATGTGGTGGCATACGCCTGTATTCCAAGCAGCTCAGAAGGTTGAGGCAGGAGGATTGTGAGTTCAAAACCAGCCTTAGCAACTTATGGAGGCCCTAAACAACTCAAGTGAGACCCTGTCTCTAAATAAAATATTAAAAGGGCTGGGGATGTGGCTCAGTGGTTAAAGTGTCCCTGGGTTCAATTCCCCCTGGTACTCTTCAGAAAAAACAAAAAGAAGCAGAGCTCATGAATAGATATTTTTTAAAGGTAAAATAAATAGATTTTACAAAAAGTAAAGTAATAGTACATAATGTATAAAATGTGAATCTTAATATAGGATACCAGAAAAGTACAACATGTCATGAAATAGTATCTTTATTCTTGTCATTGTTTAGCAAATATTTGCTGAATCCTATTCTTTATGTACATTGGGGATACAAAGAAGAAAAACAGAGAGGTTGGCTTATGAGTCTGGTAATTATGGTGTGTCCCAATAGTGGTGTAATAGATAATACTTTGGGAACATTAAAAAAGGTCATTTATTTCCTGAAAAGTCAGAGAAGATCTCAGAGGGGAGATTATTCTGAAGTTGGGTTTTAAAGGCAAAGAAAGGTTTTCTAGGTTAAAAGAGACTGCTTATATTAGTTTTCTATTGCTGCTGTAGCAAGTGACTACAACTTTGGTTCAACATAACATGAGTTTATTACTTTATAGCTCTGTAGGTCAAAGTCTCACTGTGTTAAAGCAGGGCTGGGCTCCTTTTGGAGGCATTGTGGGGAACCCTGTTCCCTTCCTAGCTTTTGTATACTGCCTACATTCTTTGCCTTGTGGGCCTTTTTCTTTTTGTTTACAGCCAGCAGTGTTGAGTCTCTGTGACACTTCTTCAGTCATTACTCTATTTGACTGTAGCCAGGAAAGGTCATGGTTCCTTTTGTTTTGTTTTGGGGGTCAGGTTGAACCTAAGGCGTCATGCATGCCAGCCAAACACTCTACCACTAAACTACACCCCAACCCAGATTCTGCTTTTAAGTACTGTGTGATTTGACTAGGCCCAACTGAATAATTTAGGACTATCTCTGTTTCAAGATCCATAACCTTAGTCCCATCTGCAAAGTCCCTGTTGCCATGTAAGGTAACATATTCACATGTTCTAGGGTTAAGGTGTAGACATCTTTGGGCACCATTATTCTGCTTTACCATACTAGCTTATTAAAAGCAGAAGAAATAAGAATTTTTAAAATTTTAGATTCATAATTGTGCAAACTGTACTTTAGGAATAGTGAAAATTCTTGGGTTATTTTTCTTTGCTTTATACTTCTTAACTATTTTCTCATTTTGTCTTATTGTTCTTTTATCTGCATTCTTAAAGATGTTCAAAAGCTTTCCTTTTATATGTGTTTTATTCTTTGTAGGGGATCTGAAGTTTGTTTTTATGTATTTAGTTTCTTATAATTTTTCTGTATTTCTCCCACCTCCATTATATTATAATTTCACTTTTAAGGTTTTATATTCTTATTCCTTAGCAACCATCAGGTTTTTCTTTTTTTATCCTATTGAGGATTCCAAATGGTTTTCTAAATTTTATTATGGTTTTATAGAAAATTGTTAACAGAGTTTAGCTCGTTCTCTGAATCTTCAGATTCTTTCTTTTCCCTTTTTATGTTTTCTTCAATGACTTACTTGTTAATATAAAAGAGAAAATATATAAGAGAAAGAGAAAATATAAAAGGGAAAGGGAAGAGTGCTCTTCATATTTGGATTTGCCCACTGTGTGGTACTGTGTGTGGATGGTGGATGGATTGCCTATGCTCTCTGTCTTTGTTCACTGGGGACTTCATAGCTGCAGCTGGATGGTAAGCTGATCTAACAGCTCCCCACCTCCATTCTGCTCTCTAATGTGCTTTCTTCTGCCGGAAGAAATAGGACCCATTCTAATTCTGAATGGTCATGGCAGAGTCTGTGGAAAAATGTAGACTCACGGCATGTGCTATCCAGGCTCTTTCTGTGGCATTTCCGCCTCCCTGTCTTCCTATCTAATGTACTTTAGTTGCAGAGAACTCCTGTTCCCAAAATGTAGGGAACTTCAATTGGCCTCCTATTTTTCTCACCATTTTGGAGTTTGTACCCAGGCCTCCTTCCTATTGCCACTCTTCAGGAGTTCATCTCCTTAGTATTTAAAAAAAAAAAAAAAAGTGGTCACAACGTGAGGAATGTTAAAGACAGAAATGCCTTTAGATTGCTGGGCAAAGCATCTCTGTCAGTCCAGGGACAATTGCCTAGCTTTTGGTTTGATATATGGATATAGTTAGACTGTGAATTAGGTGACAGAGAGTTCAGGAGGAATAATAAGCCTTTTATGTACTTTTAGGTTGTATAATATGAGTAAGCCTTTGTTAATCCAGTTCCTTCTGCCTTGGAAATTCCTCCCAAATTCTGGTTTACTGTTGTTGTTGTCTCTCTTAGGTGAGGAATTATTAAGGCTTCTAGCCAAATGTTTTACCCACTCTACTTGCTCCTGACCTAAAACCAATAGATATTACAACATTTAAATTTGAGATTCTGAAATTGGTATTTTATGTAGGCACATTTAAAAAAATTGAAGATATATGTCTCATATCCTTTACAATAATAACAACTAAAACTTATTTAAATAGGTACTGTTTGGGGATCTGGTTGAGCCACAGAATTGCCACTGCTTCAAAAAGACTATGAGAACCTTAGAGCTTCCTGAATGTTTTAGTCAGCTTTTTTGCTACTGTGACTAAAAGACCTGACCAGAACAATTTCAGGAAGAAAAGTTTATTTGGGGGCTCACAGTTTCAGAGGTCTCAATCCATACACAGTAGGTTCCATTCCTCAGGGCTCGAGGCAGAAGAATGTGGCAGAGGGAAGTGGCTCACATGATGATCAGGAAGCAGAGAGATTCCACTGACCACATACAAAATATATACTCCAAACCCACGCCCCCAATGACCCACCTCCTCCGGCCACACCCTACCCACCTTTAGCCCCACTCCGTTAACTCCATCATATGATTATTCACTGATTGGATTAAGTTTACTGTGGTCCGGTCATTTCTCTTCTAAACCTTCTTGCATTGCCTCACACAAAAGCCTTTGGGGGACACATCACATTGAAATATAACACTGGAGAATACTTGAATTTGATACATTCTTTAGATAATTTGTGTTGCTATGTCTTTTAAGTTCACTGATCTTTCATATCTAATCTCTATTAATCTTATCCAGTTTATTTTTTTCTTTTTTTATTTCTGACTTTCATTTCTCCCTTTATCATGTTCATGCTGTCCTTGTCTTTTTTCAGTATAAGAAGCATATTTTTTGGGGGGCTGGGATGTGGCTCAAGCGGTAGCGCGCTCGCCTGGCATGCGTGCGGCCCGGGTTCGATCCTCAGCACCACATACAAACAAAGATGTTGTGTCTGCCAAAAACTAAAAAAATAAATATTAAAATTCTCTCTCTCTCTCTTTAAAAAAAAAAAAAGAAGCATATTTTTTAAAAGTAATTCACTGTCTGGATCTGAGAATGTCACTCAGTGGTGTAATGTCTCCTTAGCATGTGTGAGACCCTGGTTTGGATCTTTAGCACCACAAAAAATAAAAAATACCTGGGTGTGGTGGTGCACACCTGTAATCCAGTGGCTCAGGAGGCTGAGGCAGGAAGATCTTGAGTTCAAAGCAAAAGTGAGGCGCCTAAGCAACTCAGTGAGACCCTGTCTGTAAATAAAATACAAAATAGGGCTGGGATGTGACTCACTGGTTGAGTGCTCCTGAGTTCAATCCCCAGAACCAAAAAAGAATAAAATAATAATAAAAAGAAAAAATAAATCCCCTGTTTGTTAAGTTTATTTTCTTTTTCAATTTTAATCTGTCCCTATTTATCATTTTTTTCTTTTTGTTATGAGGCATATTTTCCTATGTCTTTGCATGCTTGTAATTTTTTATGTTAGTGTTGGATTTTTCTGTGGTCTTTCAAATAGTATTAGTCTTTGTTCTGGGATGTAGTCAAATTACAATATTTTGTGTCATGTGAATTCAATACTTGCTTTTAAGTAAGATCCAGGCTAGCCTTTTACTCTAGGCTGAAAGAAACAAAATTTATCCTTTCACATCTATTTTTCACAAAATTGTCCTCATCTTGTGAATTTGAGTTTCCTGTCTACAAATCTGAGTTTTTCTGAAGTATSAACTGGCAAACTATAGCCTGCAGTACAAATCCAGCCTGTAGCCTGTTTTTGTAAATAAAGTTTATTAGAATAACATACTCATTTCCATATATATTGTCTGTGTTTGCTTTTGTACTGTCACAGCAGAGTTGAGTAGTTGTATAGAGGTGGTATGCCTGGCAAAGCCAAAAATACTTTTTATCTTATCCTTTACAGAAAAAGTCGCTCACCCATTCCTTTTTTTTTTTTTTTTTTTAGTTATAGAGGGACCCAGTGTCTTTATTTTGTTTATTTATTTTTATGTGGTGCTGAGGATCAAACCCAGTACTTCACATGTGCAAGGCAAGCGCTTTGCCACTGATCCACAACCCCAGCCCACCCATTCTTAAAGAATCACAAACTCATTAGGTAAAGTTATACTAATCAAGTATTTTACTTCAGATGTCATTGTACATCCTGTATTCATCTATATTAATGAATTAACACAGTATATTAACACAGATGGTTTTTAGGTTTAGCACTGTTCTGGGAAGATTAATATGGAAGTTTTCTTGAAACAATAAATATCTTGTTTTTAAAAACATCATAAAATATGTAGGTCAAAAGAGCAGTTAATAGAATTTATTTTGTATTTTTTATGTTATTACACTAATTTTTGAAAGTTTTCCTTTTTGCATTCTATTTTTATTTTTAGATGACCTCTTAGTACTCCATCTCTCTGACCTGATTCGAATGGCATTCATGGCTGCAACTGATCATAGCAACCAGCTGCGGATGGCTGGGCTTCAGGCACTTGAAGACATTATCAAGAAGTTTGCATCTGTGCCTGAGCCAGAATTTCCAGGTCATGTGATTCTGGAGCAGTATCAAGCTAATGTGAGATTTTTCTATTTATTTAGAAATTTAAAATTGATCTTTTGAGGGCTCATTAAAATAGTGACCCTGGAAGAATATGTTTAGAACTGTAATCTATTTTTTCATGTAGGATGCTTATCTTTACTTCCATGGTCTGTTTCATAGTTTCAGTCAGCCCACAATTGAAGAAAGAATAGTGTCAAACTGTTGTCACTATTTTTAAGTTTTGATAGCATATTAGTGATAAAACTAGAATAGAAATTCCAGCCTAGTTTTCCAGTCTTGTGGTTAGATATTTAGCCATGCCATTTAAAAGACAAAAGGAACATTCACAGGAGTGTTGTGGTTTTGCTGCCATTATTTTTATGTGCTAAGTCTTGATAAGTAGGTTTAGAAATAAAAAGCAATTTCCTCTTATATGCTGAAGGACAAATTAACTCTTAATAACTGCAGCTGAATGTGTTACTGAAACAATTAGATTCTTTGGAAATACTATTATTTCATTCTAAATAGAGATAAAATTTATTTTCCTGAAATTTATATACTCATTATATTTTTCAGAAGAAGCATAGTAAACTAATTATGGCAAAGAAAGAGGGGGGGCATTATGTGAAGATTTTAAAAATTTGGTTAGCAAATGAAGTAGAAATATCTTTTTACTGTAACTATGCCAAAATCTTGGTTTCAGGTAAACCACATTATACCTAAAAGCTATGCTTGTACACAAAATAAAATCCATGAATGATACATATTCCATTGTTTTTCCATTACAAGTACAGGTGAAGAAGTCACAGTTTCTAGCCCACTGGCTATTGAAAATCTGTATACAATTGTTTACTCCCTCATAGAAAGAGGGTCTTTAAAAAAAGGAAAAAAAAAACTTTTTTAACTTATAAATAATTTCAAATGAATAGAAATGTTGCAAGAGTAATACAGAAACTATTTTACACCCTTTATTGATACTTGCCAGCTGTTAATTTTGACTCATTTATTTGAATGGTGACTGTCTTCCTCCCTGCCTCATCTCTCTTTCTCTTTTTGTATTCATATAGACACACAATTTTTTCCCTAGACTATTTAAGAGTAAATCATTTAAATCTTGCACTTTTACCCTTAAAACACTTCCGTCTGTATTTCCAAAGGACGAGAACATTGTCTTATGTAACTACAGAACATTTATTAACCTCAGGATATTCAACATTGATCTACTACTTACATAATCTATTATGTTCCAGTTTTGTTAATTGACCCAAAAGCCTCTTTTATAGTATTTTTTCCTACTCTGGTACAGGATCCAATACCACATGTTGTGATTAGTTGCCTTGTGTCTTTAATCACAGGGAGGGACTTTTGATCCATTCCAAACTACTGTTTTTTGTTTTTTTTTTTCTTTTGTGTGTGTGTGTAGTACTGGGGATTGAATCCAGGGCCTTGTGCAGGTGAGGCAAGCATTCTACCAACTGAGCTATATCCCCAGCCCCAAAATACTGTTGATACTGTTAGTGGCTGAATCTCAATCAGGGAAGAAATCTCAACTGAGGAGTTGACAGCATCTAATCCCTTTATTCAACTCATACACATTAAATCTATTGATACATCTAAGAATCTATGACTGATATTGCTTATTTAAAATTAAACGTCATATTCCTTTACTTATTAACATAACAACAATGCATAAACTAATATTTCTGAGTAATCTTCTAAAGCATTTCTTTCTGAGGTGAAATGATCTCTGAGGTCTTTTAGTGACTACATTTTTTTTTTTTTAGTATCAGTTATTTAAAGATACTGATCCAGCTACATGAGATTTACCCATTATGTCAATACTGTTAGAAATGTTTAGAAAAATATAGTCAGGAAAAATGCACAACACAATAGGAATTTTTTATTCACTCATGAGATAAGTAGTATTAGAAAAATGGTTCAAGAGCTAAAGACAGGAAAAAACCCACAATAACAGTATTTTTTTATTTTTTATTTATTTTTTTTTTTATTTTGGGTACAGGAATTGAACTTAGGGGCACCTAACTACTGAGCCATATCCCCACCCTTTTTTAGTTTTTTAAAATATCTAGTTGTAGATGGACATAATACCTTTATTTTATTTATTTTATTTGTTATGTGGTGCTGAGGATCAAATCCAGTACTCCATGTATTTGAGGCAAGCACTCTACCACAGCCACAACCCCAACCCCCCTTTTTAAGTTTTTGAGACGGTTTGCTATGTTGCCCAGGCTGACCTTGAATTTGTGATCCTCCTGCCTCAGCCTCCCAAGTTGCTGGGATTACAGGTGTGGGCGGTGGCACCCAGCTAACATTTTTTTTTTATCTCTAATAACATGAGACTCTGTCAGGAAATTCTGTTTACTAATACACAAAAACAAAGGAAAAAGAAGATGAATTGCCTATTTGGTGTAATATTATATAGATTTAATAATGATAGCCTCCTGGAAAGCAAAGAAAAATGGTGTGGTTGCATTTATTGTGTCTGAAGATATAGGAGAGAAGTAATAAAAAGAAAAATGAACAAACATGCATTTTGTATATTTCCATCTTCAAAGACACAAGAGACTTTATATTTACTACTTATCTCTAAAAATAAAATGCTTTATTCATTTTTCTAGGTAGGAGCTGCTCTAAGACCAGCTTTCTCACAAGATACACCATCAGATATAATAGCAAAAGCTTGCCAGGTAAGAAGAAAAATTGGCTATCTGAGGTTGTTTTCTGTAAATTCAGAGATATCTTAGGATTTCACTGCAAGAAAGAAGAGAGAAAAATCAAATAAAACTTACCTTAAAATTGTAGCTGTTAGTCACCCCACCCCCAATACTGGGAATCTAACTCAGAAGTGCTCTACCACTGAGCAACATCACCAACCTGTTTTAATTTTTATTTTAAGGCAGGGCCTTACTAAGTGCTGGCCTCATGCTTGCTATCCTTCTGCCTACGCCTCTTGAGTAGCTAGTATTACAGTCATGTGCCACCACTTCCAGCTAGAGGTTTTCTTATTTATTCTGCATGAAATGATGAAGTAATTAACTGTTAATCACGTTTTTTTTTTGGGGGGGGGTCATAGCTAAGAATTCGACTTTTGGATACATAGCTCTTATTTTATCCAGAAGTATACAGTCATAGGTAAATCATAAAAGGGACAAAAAAAAGTACAAAAGAAAATCTATGATGACTAAAGAATGAATAATAATGATAATTTATTAATAAGCATTTTTCTGACCACAGGTTATGAAAACTCTATGTTTGTAAGTATTAAATTATCCTAAAAAGAATCATCTCACAATTTGGAAATTTCATTGTAAAATTAATCTCAAAGCATTATTTGCATAATATTGTATCTAAAGAAAGTCACAAAACCACAGAAAAACACATGTTCCTACATCTATAAGTTCCTCTTTTTCATATGCTTTATCCTAAAGGATTCATGTATTAAGGTCTAATCTTTCAGAAAAATCAGATTGTTTACTTGGTTACCTATGGACAGAAGAGAAGCAACTGTCTTTTTCCCAGTTTTCTAGAATTCAGGGCTGCGTTTCATCATTTGGGCTTAGATTCATGACCAAGGTTTATGTGACTTCTATTTGAAGAAGATTCCGCTCTCTGCCATAATAGGTTTGATATTCTGACTTTGTCCTCTCTGGCTAATTAGGCTTGCCTCTTATTTCCATTGAGAAGATGTATTTCTCTGAAGCCTGCTTGCCTTTATGGTAGTCTGAGGAAGAATTAATTCTTCTACCCGTAGCAGACTGGAGACAAGAGAGGTTATAAAAGCTAGGTCTCTGAATTGTGGGACAAATGTTAGGGTTAGAGTAGGTGATTTGGTTTAGGATACCGACACACAAACATCAAAAATCCCAATCATGTGTAAATGTGTCACAGTGATGTTTCAGAGCATAGAATTTAAACAGACAAAACTCCTACAAAACTCATAATCCTTAGAAAAGCAAAGACTATTAGAATTTCATCTCTTAAATGAGTTGTATCAAAGTTTCCTGTGATTGAATTTGCCTTAAACTTCTTATTTGTTTTTGTGTCTCTAGATACTTTTCCTATAAGAAGTTTCTTCTTTTTCAGTGGCAGGCTTAAATTCATGACCTCCTTTCTTTCTGTTGCAGGAGGAAACCTGTTTTGAAACAGGTGGGGCAGTGGGTTAGTTGCAGATTCCTTTACTTGGCATTCAGGGTATCTCCACTTGTTTGCAGGAATAATGTCATATTAAGAAATGTTGAAATCAGGGTAATTATTAGGAGAATTAATTGTAATTAATTGTAATTGTAGGAGAGACCCTCAATGGGAATAATGTCATCTAAAGAAATCTTAAATCAGAGTAACTCTTAGATATTGGGACTCTCAAGTGTGACACAGTTGGGGACATTAATCAGTGGGTTAGTAAAAAATAAATTCAAGCAGGGTCAAAATCATAAATACAATGCACCCTTAAATATTTTAGCTTCTGATATGTAGCAAGGTCTTTTCTCTTAGTAAGGTTTTGCTGAGTCAGTGCTACTTTGTCTTTTTTCTTTTACTCTTTGTCTGGTACTGGGATTGAACCCAGGGTCACTTTACTACTGAGCTACTCCCCACCCTTTTTTAGTTTTTGAGACAGGGTTTCCTAAGTTGCCCAGACTGACCTTGAATTTGTGATCTTCCTGCCTCATCCTCCCAAGTCCTGGAATTACAGGCATGCATCACTGTTCTTGGTTGCTTTCTCTTCCTTCATAAACCAAACCCCTAATGTATTTTGTGGAATTTTGTTAGGGCTTCTTTAAAGTGAAGAAGGTACTTAGATTTTTGCAAAGAAAACAGTTTCAAATTTTCAATCTTTACAATTTTACTCAACTTTAAGTAATATTTCTACCAAATTGTACAGATATATTTATCAAAACTGCCTACTATGTTTAGTTTCCTTAGAAATCATCTTTTTCACTTGGCATGCTGGCTCATGTCTGTAATCCCAGTGGCTCTGGAGGCTGAGGCAGGAGGATCGAAAGTTCAAGGCCAGCCTCAGCAATTTAGGCACTATCTCACTGGTACTAGGGACTAAGCTCACTGGTAAAGTGCCCCTGTGTTCAATCCCCAGTAACAAAAGGAAAGAAAGAAAGAAAGAAATCACAACTTTTACTTTTCATAACCATATTTATCTCATTTCACTTTAAATTTCATTATGATTTCAGCATTGTTTTGACTGTCTTTTTTTTTCCACCAGTATATCTTTAATGGACAATAATCATTTTAAAATGCCCTTATTTTATCATATTTAATATTGATTCTTTGAGAATAAAATTTTAAGAGAATAAAATTATTTACTTAAATATTTATTCTCCTCTTTCAAAAAGTTTTAGATATAGAAATACAAGTCTATTAGCCATGATTTGAAATCCAGACTGAAAACCAGAAGCTTTTTTATGCTTTATTTGGCAGCAAAATCTGAACTGACTTGTGTTCATTTGGCCTTGACATAGAAATTTTAGTATTGATCAATTTATCTGGAATGATTCCTGATGTTTCATTGCAGAAGTATCTTGGCGTTAATTATGGAGTGCTGTCATATTCCCTTCATATGTTTTTCCTAATGAAGTTCATGTACTTTGTTACCTTTTACTCAAAATTTGTGAATTGTGAAACCCACCTTGGCCGAAGGGTTGGTTTTGGATGAGAAAGTGAGGACCTATAATTGTCGTTGGTGAAGTTGGCACTGTCAAACCACCTCTTCTTGAAATTCTCTCCTGGGCTCCATTATCACTACATTTGCCTGGATTTTCTGTTTTTTTCTTTTTACTTTCTTTTTTTCTTTATGCTTTTTCTACTTGTCCCTAAAGTGTAACTCTTTTCCCTATGATCTGGCTTTAAGGTTTTTCTTTTTTTAACCTTTCTTTTTTAACATTTACCTACTGCTGTTACTTTAGTTATCTTTGGAAATTCCTAGATTTGTGTAGTTATCCTTGAACTGGCTCCTGAAATCCAGACCCAAGTTTCCAACTGCCTGCTGAGTATCTTTCCATGTGTCTCTTAGTGACACTTAGAACTCAGCATGTAAAAATGTTTGGAATCAAAATCATGCTAACTTCTCACCTTCACTAACCTTTCCTATTTTCTTGTAGGAGCGCCCTCAAACAAAGGTGTCAACTTCCTTCCATTCATCCAAATTAGAAGCTTTGACAATCAAAATCTTTTTTTTTTTTTGACAATCTAATCTTCTTTTTTTTTTTCAAAGAAAGAGAGAGAGAGAGAGAGAGAGAGAATGAATTTTTAATTATTTTTTTTTAGTTCTCGGTGGACACAACATCTTTGTTGGTATGTGGTGCTGAGGATCGAACCCGGGCCGCACACATGCCAGGCGAGCGCGCTACCACTTGAGCCACATCCCCAGCCCAACAATCTAATCTTCTATTTCTCACTCATTTTACATCTCCCTGTCCTTATACCCTAAAAATATCTAATTGGTTTCCAAATCCTGAGTTTCTTTTGGATGCCTCTCCTTTTTCATTCTATTCCCAGTTTAATCCATTTCATCTCTGCTATATAGTATTCTAATAGACACATAATATATTGTTTACTAGCTGTATACATTTCCCCCTATACGGTAGTACTGGCACAATTCTAATAATATCATTTGCCTCCTCAGAAGCCATAGAAGCTTAAAATTATACACAATAAGTGGGGAGAGGGGAAGAATATATCTTCAGTAGCAGACAAAGGGGAATGAATGGAAGGGAAGGGGATCAGAAAAGGAAAGACAGTGGAATGAATCCTGAAATAATTTTCTATGTACTTCTATGAATACAACATAGTGAACCCCACCATCATATACATCCATAAGAATAGTGTCCTAACTAGAATAAGATACATTCCATGCTTGTTCAATTATATCAAAAGGAATTCTACTGTCATACAACTAAAAAGAACCAATTAAGGGGGAAAAAAAAAAGCAGCCATGGAAACTCTTGGTTGTCTACAGAATGATGTCTGAATTCAGTTCACATTCCATTTAAATTTTACCATATCTGATCTCAATGACTATGCTAATTGCCATTTCTTCCTCATTTAACTCCCCTGAGTCTGTATACATAAACTTTCTACTATCCAGATATTCCCATATCACCTGCTAGAACTAATCTCACTTGTCTGTTTTTAAGTGTGTAGTATCATTGTCATGAAATGTTCCTATGTGTTTGTTCAGTCTGTGTTTTCTTACTTGATGGTAGGGTCTGTATTTTTCCCTTCAATTTTTATTATTTTTATCTCATTCAATGCAACTAGCATAACCCTTTGCCTGTGGTTTGCAAAAATTTTGTTAAATTGAAAAATTTAAGACTGAACGACTTTGGTTGGAAAATTATTTCTGTTAAACTTTTTGTTAAATTAGACAATGGAAACTTTATAAGTAAATTTTCTTATAGAGGAATACAAGAAAATCTATACTTGCTGATTTATTTCAAAAAAATAATACAAATTACAATATTGGGTAGTTTTTTGTTTTGCTTTCAGTTTTGTGTTGTGTTTTTCCCTCAAGAAAGAGAATATTTACTCCACTCTCTTTTTTTCAATATTTGTTTTCTGTACACAAATTTTTTTGAATTTTCCTTGACTAGGTATGCAGCACATGGATTGGAAGTGGAGTTGTTAGTGATCTCAATGATCTCCGTCGAGTACACAATCTGCTTGTTTCTTCTCTGGACAAAGTTCAGGCCGGAAAAGGATCTTCCAGCCAACTATACCGAGAAAGTGCCACGACCATGGAAAAATTGGCTGTTCTCAAAGCATGGGCAGAGGTAACCACAGCCATTGTTGTTGAACCATTTCTCCATCCATGAGAAACGTTTTCCTGCTCCCATTGGTAAAATAATGTTTGTTTCAGCCTGGGATGGAGTTCAGGGATAGAGCACTTGCCTAGAAAATAGGAGGCCCTGGTTTTAATCCCCAGTATCTCTCTCTCACACACACACACACACACACAMAAAAAAAAATGTTTTTAAAAGCTGACCCTTGGGCTGGAGTGGTCGCTCAGTGGTAGAGCTCTGGCTAGCATGTGTGAGGCACTGGGTTTGAGTCTCAGACAGCATATAAGTAAATAAATAAAATAAAGGTCTATCAACTATATATATATATATATATATATATATATATATACACACACACACACACACACACACAAATATATATATGTATATATATTTTTTAAGTTTTAATTTGTTATATATGACAACAGAATGCATTACAATTCATATTACACATATAGAGCACAATTTTTCACATTTCTGGTTGTATACAAAGTAGAATCACATCCTTTGTGTCTTCATACATGTACTTAGGGTACTGATGACCATTTCATTCCACCATCTTTCCTACCTTTATGTCCCCTCCCTTCCCCTCCCTCCCCTTTTCCCCTTTGCCCTATCTAGAGTTCATTTAATCTTCCCCCCTACCCCCCACAGCATATTATGAATCAGCATCCTTAAATCAGAGAAATAATTTGGCATTTGTTTTTTTGGGATTGGCTAATTTCACTTAGCAGTATATTCTCCAGCTCCATCTATTTACCTACAAATGCCATGATTTTATTCTCTTTTAATGCCGAATAATATTCCATTGTGTATATACCACATTTTCTTTATCCATTCATCTACTGAAGGGCATCTAGGTTGATTCCACAGTTTAGCTATTGTGAATTGTGCTGCTATAAACATTGATGTGGCTGTGTCCTTATAGTATGCTGTTTTTAAATCCTTTAGGTATAGACCAAGGAGTGGGATAACTGGGTCAAATGATGGTTCCAGACTCAGTTTTCCAAGGATTCTCTATACTGTTTTCCATATTGGCTGTATCAATTTGCAGTCCCACCAGCAATGTATGAGTGTGCCTTTTTCCCCACATCCTTGCCAACACTTATTGTTGTTTGGATTCTTAATAGCTGCCATTCTGACTGGAGTGAGATGAGATCTTAGAATGGTTTTGATTTGCATTTCTCTAATTGCTAGAGATGATGAACATTTTTTCATATATTTGTTGATTGATTGTATATCCTCTTCTGAGAAGTGTCTGTTCAGTTCCTTGGCCCATTTATTGATTGGGTTATTTGTTTTTTTGCTTTTAAGATTTTTGAGTTCTTTATATATTCTAGAGATTAGTGCTCTATCTGACATGCGTGTGGTAAGAATTTGTTCCCAGTTAGTAGGCTCTCTATTCACCTCACTGATTTTTTCTTTTGATGAGAAGAAGCTTTTGAGTTTGAATCCATCTCATTTATTGATTCTTGATATTAATTCTTATGCTATAGGAGTCTTATTAAGGAAGTTGGGGCTAATCTGACATGATAGAGATTTCAGCCTACTTTTTCTTCTATTAGACGCAGTGTCTCTAATTTAATTCCTAGGTCCTTGATCCGCTTTGAGTTGAGTTTTGGCATGGTGTGAGAGAGGGGTTTAATTTCATTTTGTTGCATATGGATTTCCAATTTTCCCAGCAACATTTGTTGAAGAGGCTGTCTTTTCTCCAATGTACATTTTTTCCACCTTTGTCAAATATATGATAACTATAATTATTTGGGTTAGTCTCTGTGTCCTCTATTATGTACCACTGGTCTAAGGTCTATTTTGGTACCAATACCATGCTGTTTTGTTACTGTTGCTCTGTAGTATAGTTTAAGGTCTGGTAAAGTGATGCCACCTGCTTCACTCTTTTTGCTAAGGATTGCTTTAGCTATTCTGGGTCTCTTATTTTTCCAGATAAATTTCATGACCGCCTTTTCTATTTCTATGAGGACTGTCATTGGGATTTTGATTGGAATTGCATTAAATCTGTATAGTGCTTTTGGTAGTATGGTCATTTAGACAATATTAATTCTGTCTGTCCAAGAACAAGGGAGATCTTTCCATCTCCCTTTTGTATTTAAAAAAAAAAAAAGAGCTCACCCTTGGTATAGAATGCTTTTTCAAAATCTGTTCATTAGTTTTTTGAAAACCTGTATATTAAGGATGGACTTTCCTTATTTAAAATGCAGAAGTTGGGCTGGAAAATCCTCACAATATAAATAACAGAAAATATTTTATGTTAAGACTCTTGTATTTGATTACATTTCCAGAGATTTGCCACTTTACTATCTAAGCTACAGAGTTTATTTTATTATTTTTTAATAGCTGGTTTACGGTTACCTGTTTCATTTCCACAGTCACTTTACAACATTCACATACACACACATAAATTGTGTAAAGTTATTTTCCTAAATTCCTTTGGCCAGGTGCTTTGATTCTCTGTTCTTTTTTTGGTGGGGGGGGGGTTATCTGGGGATTAAAGATTAAAGCCAGGGATGTTTAACCATTGAGCCATATCCCCAAACCCTTTTTTATTTTTTATTTTGAGATAGGATCTTGCTAAATTGCTGAGGCTGGCCTCAAACTTGGGATCCTCCTTCCTCAACCTCCGAAATTCCTGGGATTATAGGCATGTGCTACTGTACCCAGCTGCTTTTGGATTCTTATTATCTGCCCTCCAGTATTTCAAGAAACTGATTCCTGCTGAACATGGTGGTGCATGCCTGTAGTCCCAGTACCTCAGGAGGCTGGGGCAGAAGGATTGCAAGTTCAAAAACAACAGTCTCAGCAATTTAACGAGGTCTTAAACAATTTAATGTCTCTAAATAAATAAATAAATAAAAAGGGATGAGGGTGTAGCTTAGTTGGTAAAGCACCTGGTACCAAAAAACAAAAAAAAAAGTTTACTTGCAACGTTACTTATAATATGAAGAAGTGAATATTTTTTATCATTATATTTAAGATTCCAAAGGCTATATAAAGAATCAGAAGTAAATATAAAATTTCTGCTACAGGGAAATTATTAGTTATATTATGTACTATAGATATATTAGTTATATCATCTACTGTTGCCATCGAAATATTGACTATCAATATCTAGTATTTAGTCAAGAAAATCCCATGATATGTTAACCAATAAAAATAAATTAAAAATTCTATGTAGAGCAAAATTATAGTTTATAAAGATAAAATATGAATGTGGATATTGGGATTATGAGTCATTTTTAGACTTATTTTACAACCTTTATTAATGATTATAATCAAAAGTTTAAAAAAAAGTGCATACATTTTACCTTAAAATCCTGCAGTTACATTCTCCTTTGTGCATTGCTTAAGGAGTAAAATCCTCAGTTACTTCCATTTTACCCTGTGCTCAGGCAGTACCCCAAACTTGTAGTTCTCTCAAAGCATAATGCTGTTGCTTGTTTTTATGCTCTTGTTGTTGTTATTCCCTCTGTCTACACTGTCCTTTCTATCTTTGCCTGTGAACAGTGAAGTTTTTGAAGTTTTATCCTTGAAAACTGTGCCTTGAAGGAATGCAGTGGCACATGCCTGTAACCCCAGCAACTCAGGAGGCTGAAGCAGGAGAATTGCAGTTCAGGGTCAGCCCAGGCAATGTAATAAGATGCTGTCTCAGAATAAAAACTAAAAAGGGATGGGGATGTAGCTTAGTGGTAAAGCAACACTATGGTGTTCAATCCCTAGCACCACCATATACACACACAGAAAAATTCTTTCTTACCTGTCTCATGCTCCAAGAGTTAAAATTTTTCCGTCCTTGATGCTCTCTAAGATTCATTCATTCATTCACTACAGAAATCATCACATGTTCATTAGTTAATAGACCCTGGCACTGTCCTTAGGTACTGGGTAGAGTGTGGTAAGGAAGATCATTAAAAATAAATTTTAAAAAATTCCTTCTCTCAGCATTTTTCTGATACTTCTATCATTGTATTGGTCTATGAGTTCATGAATAGCAAAAACTGTATTTCTTGTCATTGTTGCTTCAGGTCTTACAGCATACTGCTGTACTGATCAATGTATAATCTTTCATATAAATCTTACTCTGCCAATGCACTATGTTCCTAAATGCAAGTCAAAAGATATGTAGTAGATAGGATTCAAGTGAACCACTGAGTTTCTTTTATTGCTTACTGAGATTCTTTTACTGCCAGTATAATAACAGATTTAGGAGGAAAAACAAGCTTAAAATCACTGAGAACTATGAATGTGATTTTTTTTTAGAGAGAGAGAGAATTTTTAATATTTTTTTTTTTTTTTTTAGTTTTTGGCGGACACAACATCTTTGTTTGTATGTGGTGCTGAGGATCGAACCCAGGCTACACGCATGCCAGGCGAGCACACTACTGCTTGAGCCACATCCCCAACCCCTGAATGTGATATTTTTTATAACCTGAGACCCAAAGTCTGTATTTTCGAACTTAGTCAGTTGCTATGTTTTCTCTGGGCTGTGCCTGTCTGCCCAATGTAAGAATAGAAGTAAGATGCAGTACCTCCCACAAAGAAGCTTATAGTGTACTGGACACACAGACTTCCCGTTAGACCACACTGGAAATAATACTGTAGGAAGAAAACAGATTTTTTTAAAGATTTTTTGGAGCGTACTTTACTTTTTTGCTCTTATTGTTATATTTTGCTTTTTCATTATGATATAATTCAGTTTGTATGTTCCAAGTTGCCAAAGCCTAAATATATGTAGAAAAACAAACTTGGCAAAAAAAGAATCTTTAAAATTATGTTTTAGGAAAGTTGTTATTATATGCCATTCTGGTTCACAAACTAGAGAGAAAGACTACAGATAATATATGTGACGAGTAAATTATATTTTTAGCTCAGCTATCTGTTGTAATTGCTAGATTGCTAAATATCATTTAAGGACTGTGTAAGAGGGAGTTTAGGAGAATATTTATGGAAATCCTTTCTTTGGCCACCTCCCTATTTTCAGCCTTTCTCTTTGAATGCTGTCTGATTATGTCTTATAAGTCTAGGAAAGTGTAGGCAGTAAACAGGAAGTTATACCCCATGGCCAAAAAAAAGGAGGCTTTGTAAAGAAGAACAAGGGAACCCAAGAAAAGCCTACTCCGGGACTAGGCTGTGAGAAGAATAGTCAGAAGCCAGATCAGCTTTAAAAAATTGCTTCCAAAGCAGAGGCAATTACTCTTTTTTGGTTATTGCAATCTCTTAATATCTATACCCATTTACCTTTTTTTAAAAAATATGTTTTTAGTTGTAGGTGGATACAATACCTTTATTTTATTTATTGTATGTGGTGCTAAGAATTGAACCCAGGGCCCCACACATATAGGTGAGCACTCTTACCACTGAGCAACCCCAGCCACTATACCTATTTACCTTTGATAATTCAACTGTACAATTACAGCAACTTAAAATATGTGATTTTTATCTTAAGCCTTGTTATTGTCACCTTGTGAATATCTTACTAGGTATATGTGGTTGCTATGAATATTAAAAAGGAAGCAGAGTCAAAACCAAAAAGAGCAATGAAGAATACTGATGATGATGAGGATGACTATGGTACCATAGATGAACTACCACCAGACAGTTTAATAACACTGGTACAACCCGAACTGCCAACACTTAGCCGCCTGTGGTTGGCAGCCTTGAAAGACTATGCTCTTTTGACTTTACCAGCAGAATTTTCTAGTCAGCTTCCCCCAGATGGTAAGTATTGTATTCACAGTTTGCCTTTATAAAGCTCAGTTTAATAATTAAACAAAATGAACTTGGTAGAAACTAGCACTAGTAATAAAAATGTCCTAAATTCTTGTGGACTTAAACCTTATGTTGTTTCTTAGAACATGTTTTCTTATTGCATTTATGGATTCGAGATTTTTACTGCAAAAAAACTTGTTAGCTGAAGCAAAAATTTTAATCACTGTTTTAGCTGTATTATGTGCAAGATTACTTGAAATAACTATGGATAACAAGTCATTATGCATAACCATGGTGAAGAATACTGCTTTACTCGTCCATGTATGCTCTTTCATATAAATCCTGCTCTGCTAATGAATTATGTTCCTAAAGTCTTTTTTGCAAGTTGTTGGTTTATACTCTAGTTTGTTTTCCTATTGGAATTTATTTGGAAATCATCATGAGCATTATTCCTGTTTAGAAAAGGTATTATCAATTCCTTTTCAAATAACCCATTTTTCTTCCCATATATTAATGATAACAGGTACTGGAGTTTCTCCTTTTTCTCCTTTCTGAATTCATTGTTATGGCAAAGAGAGATGAGAAAATCCCCAGTGTTGGTAGTGGGAGAAGGTGGAGAGGAAGAGTAGATAAACAGAAGAAACAAATTCCCTGGTTATGGTAGAAAGAGAGGTGACTGTGAGGAGGTGGATCCTATGAAAACAGGATAGGAAAAGGTATGGCTACTGAATGGCGCCAGCCCTGGACAGGAAAAGGTGGAAAGCAGGTATCAGTGAGGGAGAGGCAGGCACTTGGCAAAARAGAATCTTTAAAATTATGTTTTAGGAAAGTTGCTATAGAGAGGGGTTAGTTGGGAGAGGAGAAACTCTTTGACCAGATGAATCTTTTGGGTTAAAAAAGATATTKTATCCACCTAAAACTAAAAAATAAAATTAAAAAAAGTAGTTTTTTAAGTTTAGTTATTCATAAATGAGTGAACACTTGTAATAGAAAGTAATGTTTTTAATTGATTTGATTGTTTTACAGGTGGAGCATTTTATACTCCTGAGACTATTGATACAGCTAGACTTCATTATTGGAATCCCTGGGCCCCAATTCTTCATGCGGTGGCACTTTGGTTAAATAGCACAGGGTTTACGTGTGCAGAGTCCACAGAAGCAGCAGTGTCTGGTTTACAAAAACGTTCTGCATCCATCAGTTTAAACCAGGCATCAGGAGCAATGGCCASTGCTAAATCTTTGCCAGAAATTAACAAAGACCGAATGCATCTGATTTTAGGTAGAGTGTCATATTAATATATTTCAAGATGTATCACTTTTGAAAATTCAAGTTTTCACTTTAATGCTTTGGGAAAATTTTGTACAGCACAATTCAAAGAAAGAATCATAAAAAGATTTTTAGTTCATCTTATAAATTAGCTGAATTTTTGCCTAAAAATTATTTAAAACTACTCTTTAAAAATTGTAGATGTCATGTTCACTCACAGAGCAATACTAAATAATTTGCAAGAAAAAAACTTAATTTTTTTATTCTACAACAGATTATCTTTATACTTGGCACTTAACAAACCATCATCCCATAAAGAAAAAAAGTTTAAAAATTTAAAGAATCCTAATTTACAATTACTTTCTACATGATGTTTTAGTGTTTAAAAATTTATACATTCTAATGAAGGTTTTAGTGATTTCATATTTTCTGGGGATGGAAAAGGACCACAATTTGAAAGGTATAATTGTAGAATTCATCTGTAGATTCAATAAATGAAAATGTGAAATATTTCCAAAACCTTAACCTCATATACATTTATAGCACTTTTTACCCATGACATTTATTGGGCCTCTATAGCTTGCCATTTAAAAAACTTGGTTTGCATATAAAATTTCTTGGCAACTATTAAATGAAGAGTGTAATGTTATAATGTTCATAAAGTTACTTTTAATATACTGTAATTTTAAAAAGTCCCAGAAATAGAAATGTTAGTTTGAATATTAATCAGTGCAATGCTACAACTTTATGTTCAGTTTGACTGCTTAGCTTAGAAACCATTTTGAACTATACTTTAACAAATAAATGTAGGTTAAAGTAATCTGTATGAAAAATAGAGGAAAAATGTGATGCCAATACAACATAAAGTGTTTTCTATCAATTTCTATTTTGTGTATTTCAGGTGTGAGTATACAGTTTCTTTGTTCCCCAAGACCTGAGGAGCCTGTGGAGCATGTTACTGCATGTCTACAGGCCTTGCACACCTTGCTGATTCTCCTTGTGCCTGGATCCATATTGCAGAATATCAGGTACAGTGTATTTCTAAAATGAATAACTATTTATATACTTTGTTTTAAATATATTTATATTAGTATAATGTTATCAGATAGTAAATATATATTGTATTAATTAATAACAGTAATATATATTACATTAGTGAAAGACAATATATAATAAGTATTCAAGATTTCTCTGTACTTAATCTTGGATGACCAGGAAGCAATATACTATAGATATTATTATACCTTCTTTGTTTTGTTTATCATCAATCAAATAAAACTAAAACTTTAAGGAATAACTTCAGAGTTAGTAAATGATTGAAGTAGTAAAAGGCTAAAGTAACTTACAAGGCTATTAAGTAAATTATGTCACTTTTTTAAAAAAAATATTTTTTAGTTGTAAGTGGATCTTTTATTTTATTTATTTATGTTTGGTACTGAGGAACGAACCCAGGGCTTCACACATGCCAGGCAAGCATTGTACCACTGAACCACAACTCCTGCCCCAAATTATGCCACTTTTGAATGTTAGATAAAGTTTTCTCTCTCATTTAATGAAATTTGGGAGGTTGGTAGTAGCTCATTCACAATTTAAAGAACCACCTTTTCTAATTTCAGTATGAAACATCTAGGGAACTTAATTCATATTACAGAATCAAGCTGGCACTGGATTTGTTATTCCTTGTAACTAGAAATTCTATATCTTTATAATAAAGTTCGTCTCTTGACATCACCACTACCACATGGTGTCACTTGGGTAGTTTCCAATAAAACACAAAAAGATAAAATACCAACCTGATACCAATTTTTGATGTCAAAATTAGTTTTGCATTTTATTCTACCTAAAACTAAAACATAACATATGCTGTGTGAGTATAGGATTCAATCACTGATTAACTCTTGTTTGAAGCCCAACCCTGTGGCCTCAAGCTGTGCTACAATTTGAACTACAAGTTACTACAATTAATATTAGGATTGTTTTCAGATAGTTAAACCTATAAGATTTGATCTATAAAAGAAGAGTGACTACTATATTTAAATTCGAGCATTTGGGTTTTAATATAGTATATTACACAGCTAGCTATTTTTTGGATTTAATGATATTTTATTCAAGTATTGCTATACAGTGGGAAAAATGGACTTTTAAAAAAGTTGGGTCCTGTAATTTCAACATTGTCAGAGTGCACTGATTCATGTTGTATTTATTCACCTAGCTGCTGTTACTCTGTTTCTGTTCTGCCTCAGACCCAGTTTGCAACTATAGATAATCAAACATAGTGTTACAGCCTCTGGATTAAGGGATAACTATCATGTAATATGTAATTTGTTCATGCATATAAGGTGTACTGAGAATAGGAACTGTCCTGAGAAGGATATCTTCTCAGGAAAGACAATGGTTGAATCAAATCTTACAGAGGAATTATATATATTTACTTATTAGTTGTTCTTTTTAGACATACATGACATATTATACATACATGGAATATTACTTATTCTAATTAGGATATCATTCTTGTGGTTGTACATGATGTAGAGTTATACTGGTCATGTATTCATTTATGAACCTAGGAAAGTTATGTCCAATTTATAAYTTTCACTGTCTTTCCTATTCCCATCCCCACTCCTTCCGTTCATTCCCCTTTGTCTAATCCAATGAACTTCTGTTCTTCCTCTCCCTACCCTCCCTTGTAGTGGGTTACTATCCACATATCAGAGAGAACATTTGGCCTTTAGGTCTTTGGGACTGGCTTATTTCACTTAGCATGATATTCTCCAGTTCCATCCATTTACCAGCAAATGCAATAATTTCATTCTTCTTTGTGGCTGAATAATATTCCAGTGTGTGTGTGTGTGTGTGTGTGTGTGTGTGTGTGTGTGTGTGTATATATATATCACATTGAATTTTCTTTATCCATTCAGTTACAGAGGAATTATTGAGGCCAAAGAAAAGGATTGGGTTTTCCTCTAAGAATAAAGTAGTAAATACAAAAACTAAGGAAGCATGAGAAAACAGGAGAAGTTTAGGGACAGTATAGTCATTTAGTATGGTTTTTGTAAATGCAAAATGTAGAGGTTAKTAGATGAGGCTGGACAACAGGGTAAAGACCAAATCATGAAGATTTCTTTATAGCATATAAGAGAATTTTGACTCTATCCTGAAATTGATGGGAAGTAATTAGCAATATTTAAATAAAGGAATGACATGATTGATTWTTTTGTTTCAGAAGGAACATGCTATCAATCTTGTAGAAGGTTGTTTGTGAGACAAGAAGGAAGGTGGGAGACCAATTAAGTGACTCTTTATAATTTCAGAGAAATAATATACTAGTCTAGGAAAACTGATTAAAGGAGAAAGAAAAGAGGACCAAGATTGAAGCCTTGAGGATAACTAGCATTTAAGGATTGAGAGGAAGGAAATAAATCAGCATTGGAGACCACTAGAGTGGTAAGAGAAAAAACAAAACAGAAACAGTTTATCAAAGAGAAGGGAGAAATTTCAAGAAAGGCAGATGAGGCCAGGAGTGGTGGCTAATGCCTGTAATCCTAGTGACTCTAAAGGCTGAGGTAGGAGGATCACAAGTTCAAAGCCAGCCTCAGAAATTAAGTGAGGCCCTACACATCTTAGTAAGACCCTGTCTCAAAATGAAAACAAAACAAAACAAAAAAAGGAGGCTGGGGATGTGGTTCAGTGGTTAAGCACCCCTGGGTTCAATCCCCAGTACCAAAAAAAAAAAAAAAAAAAAAGAATGCAGATTATAACATCTAAAGAAATAGTACATAAATGAGGAAAGAAAAGGGTCCAGAGGAGGTTATTAGAGACCTTCTGCAGAGGATTTTCTTGGGTTGGTAAAAGCCAGATTCTAGAAGATCAGGGGGGTGAATGAGAAAGTAAATGAAGTGGAAACATCTAGGCTGGCTGGGAAAGGAAGGAGTAAGACAGAGGAGGCATGTGGGTAGATAAAAGGGTCTAAGAGACTTTGGGAGCTTTAGATAAGAAAGAATTGAACATTTTCCTTATATTGAGGAGAACAGTCTAACTAGACAGGGAGGTTGAAGACATATGAGATATGATTGAAATCTTTGAAGAATCCCTGGGAATTACAATGGGATCACATGAAGAAAGATGAATCAACTTGGAAAAGAAGCTGGGTATTAGATAAAGTGGAAACATTAAGGGAAGAGGTAAAGGTACTTTATTTGTGATTGAGCTTTCTCTGACTTTGAAATTTGAGGCAGACTCATTGGGCAGATTACCTGTGAAAGCTGAAAGTGAAAGTTTGTAATCATTGCTGAGGTGAATAGAGGAGGGACTCGCCAAAAATTCCTGTTGTCTGTGGCACACAACTCTCAGGTACTGAGCTTAGATTTGGTTTAAGGGCACTAAACTCTAACAATAATGCTTAACTCAAGTATTTTTTTAACCTGTGGGAGAATAAGTCAACTTAAATATTCAAGACATCTATTGCTTAAAAATCTGTTAGAATGAAATGTGACCATTTCCCAAGATTGTTAATATTCTTATTTGTTACACAGTCCTCTATGTTAATATTAATTGCAAAATACCTTGTTTTCATATGTATGTTTTCCTCAGCTTTTAATAATATACATTTATCCTTTAAAATTAAAATTAATTCAATTTATTTAATTCAATTTATAATAGCTGATTGGTGTTGAGTTGCTGAGTGTTTTGCATCGTCTCCTTTTGACCTGGAACCCACCATCCATCCAGCTGTTGGTTACTGGAGTTGTACAACAGATAGTAAGAGCTGCTCAGGATTATTTGCAGGAAAAAAGAAATACTCTGAGTAAGCACTATAAATCACACTAACTTAAAGTAAACCTTATTTGCACTCTAATTTTTAAAGTAGTAATGCCAGGAGGTTTATGATTTAAAAAATGATCATACATTTAGAAAATTTGAAACTGATTTTGTTTTCATTAGGACCAAATGAAATTGCTGATAGCTGATCATTTTTCCCCTCCAAAAATGTCAACTTCACATAGTTCAACCTAGCATATGTGTTATTTTTATTAGGAAATAAATACTTAATATTTTCCAAGTAAAAAATAACTATCCATTAGTTTAGAGAAGTTAATACACAAAATTCTAGTAAGGCAGAGAATTATACTAAGAAAGACATGTAGCATTATTTAGGCATTTACTTGTAAAACCTTTTGAAGGAATTTCTTAAAGGTATTTATTGTGATATTTTATATGCCATTTTCAATTTTCTGCTGAAAATTTCACCAAAATTATTTTTTATCTAAGATGAAGATGACATGGAGAAAGAGTCCTGTCCAGTATTAGGAGAAGGAGGTGACACTGGTGGCCTCATTCCTGGAAAATCTCTTGTGTTTGCAACTATGGAGCTGTTGATGTTCATTTTAGTTCGGCATATGCCACATCTGAGTACCAAGATGTCAGACTCTCCAAGTCACATAGCCACTAAAACCCGGCTGTCAGAAGAAAGTGCTCGTCTGGTGGCAGCCACAGTCACCATTCTCTCTGATTTACCATCCCTTTGTTCACCTGCTGGTACAGTATTGATCAGTATTTCGAAATGCATTATATGCAGTAGTGAAAGTGGTCTTGCCTTGAATTTTAAACACTTATAATTTATTTTTCTCTTAAATCTCAAGTGTGAAATGAGAGGTCAGTCTTTTAAAAAGATTTATGTACTTTTAAGATCCTATAAAGATTAAAGATTCAAAAAACGAAAGACCTAAGCTGTCTTTTCAGATATGTTTCAAACAAGACAGAACTGCAGACTGGGGAAGATAGTAAGGTGGAATTACAAAGCTCATTATTTTCTAATCTGGTTGACATTCATGAGCAGCATTGAAAAGCAAAGAATTTCAGAGGAGAGTGACAGCCAACTCTAAGGAGTATCTAAAGAAATCATGACTAGTAAATGTAATAGATATTGAAGAACTGTTGTATGGAAGCAAACTTTCCTTGTTTTGCTGGAAAGTAAAAATAATTATTAGTAAACATACTGGTAAATTTCGGTATAACCAAGAAACAATTTTTTGATTCTTAAAGTTACCCTACATGTGTAAAAAGAATGACTTTCTCTCCTTGGAGTTTTGTAGGAAGCTGCCTATAAGAATAGTGAAGGGATTCTTTTGTTAAGTGGATGGTTGATTTTTTTTTTTCAGTTGTAGTTGAACACAATACCTTTATTTTATTTATTTTTATGTGGTGCTGAGGATGAAACCCAGCGCCTCGCACGTGTTAGGCACACGCTCAACCACTGAGCCACAACCCCAGGCCCCCCCACCCCCACCACCATGGTTGAATTTTTATCCACAAATTCTGGGATYCTATAATTTCTTCTTTGCTTACCTCAGTAGTCTTCTCATTTTCCTGGCTTGATTAGGCTGGCTTTCGTACACTGAAG